GAATAAAGGATCATTTAACTTTACACTTTTTGTGTTAAAGAATTCATTAAAGGACCAATGTGTACGTTTTCTAATGCTACATAGCTAACGTTTGCATTAACAGCTGTTTACTTACCAGTCTAGAAGAAACATTGTTGTACAGACACTAACGTTTACTCTTGATTAGCTTCTGTTTCAATTATGTCTTTTCTTCTACTGAAGTTAGCATGCTAACCAGCTAGCTCTGGCCTGTCTACAGCTCCGGCCTCTCTCCTGAAGTTAGCATGCTAACCAGCTAGCGCCGGCCTGTCTCATCACTTTCTGATACTGAGTCACTGCAGCCTCCAGTCTGAAAAACTGTTATAACCTTGTTTGGTAAGTACTAGTATGTAAACAGCTGCTAATGCTAACGTTAGCTATGTAGCAATAGCTAAACTTTTAAATATGTCGATGCTCAATGTAAGAATGAGAAACTCAAGAAGAACAGGTGATCAATGATCAGTCAATGATCAGAATAGTTGATATAAAAATCTTAATTCAGACTCGGAGACAAATGAACCTTCAACTCAGTGAAGAGAAACTTCAAACACCGGCTCTTATTTTCACTCTGTCCAGGTTCTTTGTTGTTTTACTTTCTCTTCATGTAACTTTGTTTTAAACTGTAACAGCTTCACGTCTTTAAATGATATAAAAAATGACACAGGTGAGCAATCACAAAATATAATTTTATATTTCTACACAAATACAACAGAAAAATAAATGTATGAATGAACTGTACCTGTCCGTCTGTTTTTAAATAAAGTTTTGTTAATGTGAAATGAAGGTGCTCCAGGTGTCTGTCAGCTGTTGCTGTAGTTACCTGGTGCAGCCACAGCTTGCGCCTGTGGACGTGACGACAACTGGCACAGACCCCCTCCTGACCAGTGTGGGCGTGGCTCTGGGTGAATCTCTGCCCTGCAACACAAAGAGTTGTTACATCACAGCTGGCCGTCAGCCAATCAGCTGCTGAGTTTATTTCTGTTCAAACAAATCTGAACCAGGACAGACTGAGACCTGGACCAGGACTGAACCAGGACAGACTAAGACCTGGACCAGGACCAAAAGGTTGACTCTGGAACCAGAGCAGAATCCATCTCTTCATCTCAACATGAGTGGAGTAATGTTTCTAAGTCTAAAACCCCTTAAACTGCAAATAATCAAAACCTCTTAACACGGTCCGGTCCATGAACCGATCCAGTGTTTGAAGCAGCTGTACAGGTAGGAAAAAACATAAAAAAACACTTAAACTGTGGAGATAATCCCATAAAACCCATTTAATATATTATCATTATTAAACCAAACTAACTCTTAAATTGAAAACAAACCCTAAAAACCCCTTAATCTCCACATTAACCCTTTAAAAATCCCTTAATTGATTGAGTCCAGAGCTGGTGAAGCTTTCAATCTCTGAAATCAATTGAAGCTCATTAATTAAACAGAATCTTTTATCTCAATAACACTTAACTCATCATTCACATTCATCTGGAATTTAAGGGGAAACTCAAGAGCCCTTAACATCCACTTCACCAAGGCCTCTGCAAATTAAGGGCTTTTTAAGGGCTTCGGATTTTCAAAGTAAAAGACAAATTAAGATCTCTGGCTGATTCTGCTTCCAGTGCTGGTCCTGGGTCCAGTGCTGGTCCTGGGTCCAGTGCTGGTCCTGGTTTGAGTCCAGCAGACCAGGTGAGTGTTGTTACCTGCAGTGGCTCCACACAGGCCACAGGAAAGTAACCCTCATCTCCGTTGGACAGCCGTCCGAACCACCAGGCCTCATCCTCCTTAAACAGAACCTGGATCAGGTCTCCCTGGTTCAAGTCCAGCTCCTTCGTGAGGCGGGACCGGTACTGGACCGCCGCTACCACAACCTGCCAATCACAGTCCAGAACAGCTCATAACCACGCCTCCCAGAGGATCGACAACACTTCATTAAGTGTTATTTAACATTAATAAACCATTAATTAACACTTAACCCTTAACTGTCCCCTTAATTAACCCCTGACTTTTTCTTCTCTGGTATAAAACCTGTTTAAATCAAAGCTGCTGAAGATGTTTCCTCATCCAACTTGCAGGAAGTTGCTGCTAATTGGTTAATTAGAGCTGTGTGTGTGTGTGTGTGTGTGTGTGTGTGTGTGTGTGTGTGTGTGTGTGTGTGTCTTCTTTAATCTGCTTTAAATAGCCACTGCTCAACAGGCTGTAAATACTCAGAGGTCAGAGGTCACACTGATGTAATACTGATTAACACACACACACACACACACACACACACACACACACACACACACATTTATGTCTACTTTCTGTTGTGTTGTAGGACTAAGTTTGCAGCGTGTGTGTGTGTGTGTTTGACACTCTGCTCTACATGAACCAGTCTTTACCTTCTCAGCCTCCACATGTCTCGTCCTCGTCCTCGACCTGCACACTATCACACAACGGGGGGGTGGGGGGGTTAATCAATGAGTCAATCAGGCTTCAATAAAAACACAGGAGTGTCAGAGATGCAGTGAAGTGAGGATCAAACTGATCCGTCCAACCTGAGACTGTGTCTGAGGCTTTTATTCACTTCACTAAACTTCAATCTGGTTCAGACCAACCACCAACCTCCAGCCTGAAACCAGAAGCTGCAGTTCCTCTAACGACCACTAGAGTCTGGCTCCAACAGTGAGTCAGTCCCCATAGACTCCCATGTTAAAATGTCCAACTTTACAGCAGAAATAAACATGTTTACAGCCTGGTACAGAAACTGTTTTGGTCTCTAGAGCTGATTTCCTCCTTCATGACACCTGTTTATATAACTCACCTGTTTATATAACTCACCTGTTTACATTTTATTAAGGACTACAGTTATGGAGGATTGAGGGCGTGGCCTCTTTGAGTGACAGGTGGGTGTCACTGTCAGCCCTCATCATACCTGGCGTATGTGTTTGTGTGTGTGTGCATGTGTGTGTTTGTTTTAATGTAAAAAGCTACCAGTAGCCGTGTATTTACCTGTTGGTCTCAGGTGTTTCTGTACCTGCTCAGTCTCCTCCTGTGGTGACACCTTCATGTCTCTGTACTGACTCTGAACAGCTTCTGTGATCTACACCTGCAGCTTCATCATTGTTTTAAATCATGCAGGTTCCTGAAGGCATCACTGTTTAAATGAGCCTGACTCTTGTTTCATTAAATACTCTCTGAGTTTTTCCTGGTTCGATGAATAAATGAAATCCACTCAGTGGATGAAGAATCATGATGATCCGTCTCATTAACCAGAGACATGAGGACACACGTCTCAGCTGTTTCTGTCTCAAACTGTCCTCACGTCTCATTTCTGCACAGAATTCATCCATTAACTGATGAAACTGTCTCTTCATCAGGTTTAAAGGGAGGAAGTCATCGACTGTTAATCATTGCATTTAATAGATAATAAAGTTTTTACTCTAAGACATGTGTGTGTGTGTGTGTGTGTGTGTGGACTCACCTTGGGGGGAGAAGACGGTGGTATAAATCTCAAACTGCTCATCAGAGTGTCTGTAGATCTGCTGCATGCTGCTCTCTCTCACACACACACACACTCTGAGCTTTAATACCTGCAGCCACTAATCCTGCTGAGTGTGTGTGTCTCTGTAACACACACACACACACACACACACACACACACACACACACACACACACACACACACACACACACACTTATTTTGTCTATGTAGGTAAATTCAGGCTGTTTGATGTTTTTCTGTTTTAAGACTCATTAGCATTAATGTTTTATGTAACTCATTTATCTTATCTATAGCTATACACTCATCTGAGAGACCCTCACCTGATGAACCTGGTCATGCAGCGCGTCCTCTCTGTCCGTCTCTACACACACTGATGATACAGAGAACTGCAGGATCTTCACGTCAACACACGGGAATCAAACCACCGACATTCAGAGGACGAGCTGCTCCACCTGCTGAACCTGAGTCTACGTTTCATAATGAAACAACGACCTGATGTCATGTGACGCCGCTACTGTCATCACATCATCATCATTAGTCTTGTTGTTGTTGATGTCATCAGTGGAACAGGAAGTAGTAAGATCCTTTACTGAAGTGTCAAAATAAAAGTGGAACAATCAGACCGATGAAGTTGAAGCAGAACTAGTTAAGGCCATTACCGATTCATTAATGTTTATGCTTCATTAAATTAGTTTTAACTAATGATGATTCTCATTGATCAGCTGATCAGCTCTGATGATGGTTTGTAAACAAGGTCAAAGTTCAGAGAGGACGAGCTAATTAAACTTCAACCATTAATCAATGATCAATCTAATCAACTCTGTTTCATCAGTAACTGCAGTCACAACAACAACGATAACAACAATAACAAAATCTAAATTGTACATTAAACTTACTGATTAATATTATTATTGATTGTTGTTGTTGATTGTATTATTGTTTGTTGTAAACAGGTAAATGAACAAATGTTTGTGTCGTTACTGAGAAACAATCAGATCAATTATTGATGAGATGATTATTATTAATTATGAAGTGGAGTCAGAGTGACTCTGATGAGTCATGAGTCACACAGTGAACAGGTGGGCTCTGTGGTGCATTCAGGGTCACTCTGTGTTTAGCTCGTTTTCTGTCCCTGGAGTTAAACCAGTTAAACACAGTCAGATCAGGTTTATATAACAACTGTTCCTGGATCAGGATAAAACTGGATTAACATGAGAGTTCTAAGAAAAACACACACACACACACACACACAAACACACACACACACACACACACACACACACACACACACACACACACACACACACACACACACACAAACACACACACACACACACACAAACACACACACACAAACACACACACACACAAACACACACACACACACAACTTATTTTTTCTATGCAGGTAAATTCAGGCTGAGACTCATTAACATTAATGTTTTATGTAACTCATTTATCTTATCTATATTAACCTTTAAAATGTAAATGAAGGGACCTCCACGTTGTTGCAGTTGTTTTAATGTTTTAAACTGTGTTGATCCATTAAAACAAGTTAATATTATAATCAGTTAATTCATCTATTAATTTATTTGTTGACAAACTGAAAACAAAGAGTTTCATGTTATTTACTCAACTTCCTGTTAAACTGTGATAGTTTGTGATGTTACATCCAGATGTTTGAGTCGCACCTTTAATGAACACATGACGACACTGATGAACAGACAGGAGGACACGTCCAAATGGGTTACATGTCCAGTCACATGTCCAGTCACACTAGAGTCTGTGCAGGTGGAGGCGCAGCAGCATCTAGTGGCTGTTAGAAGAACTGCAGCTCGACACAGCACAGACAGAGGCGATGCGTTCAGGGTCAGTAGAGCTTCATGGAGGCTGAGAACAGCTCGGTCAGGTCCTCCTCACTGTGCTCTCTGGGAGACAGTTTGGTCACTCGCTCCTGGAGATAAACAACTCACATCAACACCACACTGACACAACAATCTCTTAAAGTCCCCTTAATTAACCCTTAATTTCCCCTGAAAACACACAAACACCTGAATCAGCCAGGGATCCTTCATTTGTCTTTTACTTTGAAAATCTAAAGCCCTTATAAAGCCCTTAATTGGAAAAGGCCTTAATGAAGTAGACGTTAAGGGCTCTTGAGTTTCCCCTTTACTTCCAGATGAATGTGAATGATGAGTGAAGTGACTGAGCTGAAGGTTTCTGAATAATTAATGAGCTTGAATTGACCTGAGAGATTTACCTGTGGGATCGTTCCTCTGACCAGAGCCGGGACGTCGTCTATACTGTAACCCAGCGCTCCCAGTCCGTCCTCCACCTGCAGCTCGAACAGGAACTGACGCAGTGTGTCAGCCAGAACAGCACCTGCATCCGCCCGCTTCACCTGCCGGATATCTGCACCTGAACGCAACAGAGTCTGTTACTGCACCTGAATGCAACACACAGGGTCTGTTACTGCACCTGAACGCAACACAGAGTCTGTTACTGCACCTGAACGCAACACAGAGTCTGTTACTGCACCTGAACGCAACACAGAGTCTGTTACTGCACCTGAACGCAACACAGAGTCTGTTACTGAACCTGAACGCAACACAGAGTCTGTTACTGCACCTGAACACAATCTGTATTTGTGTTGTGTTATATTATCACTATTGTTGTTTTTTTATAGTGTTATGTGCGTTTTATAAGGTGAACAGGTGAACATGTGAACATTTACCGAGGATCTCTGCAGCATCCAGGTGACGCTCTGGACACATCGGGGCAGTGAAGTTGAAAACAGCCGGAGACGTGAGGACAACTGAGAGACCGTGAGGCTGAGGACACACACACACACACACACACACACACACACACACACACACACACACACACACAGATGAAATGATGAAAATTAAGTCTCACGTTTCATATAACAAACATATGTCATATACATATATGTGTATATGACATATAGATGATATATGTGTGTCGTGCTGTCTCACCACCAGGGCGTGCTCCACACTGTAACCTTTGGCTGAGTGAGTCTTCACGTTTCCAGCGATCGGGTACGACATCCCATGACTGCAACACACACACACACACACACAGACACACAGACACACAGACACAGACACACAGACACACACACACAGACACACAGACACACACACACACACAATAAAGCTGTAATAACTTCTGTGTTGTATCATATTGATTTATTGTTATATTCATTATTTAATTGCTCATGTGATGAACAGCTGACAGCGAATCTCTCACCACAGATGAACTCCAGCGTTTCCGAAGCCGATCCCAGCGAACACGCTGGCCAGGTGCATGCTGGACCGGGCTTCCAGGTCCTCAGGGTCCCGTACAGCTCTGTACACAATCAATCAAATCAATCAATCTAGTGTGTCAGGTTTCTATAATATAAAAATGTTCAACAACAGACGATCAAACACTCTGATTTTATTGATCAATGTTCTTTGGTTTTTATTCTTTAAAGTTTGTTTTCTTTCTTTATTATTATTTGTTTTTTTCATATTTTTTCAACTTTCATATAATTTTTTTATTTTAATTAGATTTTTAAATTGAGCCTTTAATTATTTTAATTTGTGTTCCTCAGGGAACCTGATCGGTTCCTCTGTGGTTCTCTGATGGCCCTGAACCTACCGCTTCATGTACTTGGAGACCACGTTGAGGGCGTGGCGGGACCACACATCGCTGATGGGGTTGCTGCCCTGGTAGGCGGGGCGGTTGATGGGGTTGGGGGGGCATGGGCTTCTCTGGTTGTAGGGCAGAGCGGTGTAAGACTCCAGAGCATGACTACAAGAAATAAAACACCACATAATCATACCTGTTTCCATGGTAACAACTGCCACTGCTACAACTACTGTGAATTATTCATTTATTTATTAAAACCTCATATAAAATAAAAACAAAAATATAGAATTCAATATAAGAAAAATCTAGAGATTAACTCAAAAGAAATAAACACATCTGACATCAAACTGAAATAAACATAAATAAAAAATATTAATAAATTAAACTCAAATAAAAATAGAATGAGGCAAAACGATTTGAAAAATAAATGTAAAATGTTAAGAGAAACAAAAACAAATAAAATAATTCAAATTCATATTTTGTTATATATAAAGTCGTGTATTCAGATTAAACATTAACAAAAAATAAATGAAATATATTTTAATTAAAACATAAAAAATACTAAAACAAAAAAACAAAAAACAAACAAGACGTTGACAGATGTTGACAGATGTTGACAGACTGACCAGAGCACATCGAAGCCACTGTTGGCGGCAACTCTTTCGGGCATGCTCAGTGTGTGTGTCGGGTCCACAATACCCAGCGTGGGTCTGATGGCTCGGCTGGCGATACCTGAGCACAGACAGCCAATCACAGCTCAGACTGACTTTGTGATGTCATCAGGTAAATAAAGCGGTTCAGACATAACTCTTTCCTGTTGTTTAAAACCTCCAGGCTTTTAATGTGAAACTCCAGCAGGAAGTATAGAGCTTCATGAGGGAGGAGGAGGAGACGACAGCAGAAGAGGAAAACGAGTTTCTATAGCAACAGGACAGAGGTTTCTTGTCATCACCTGGAGCAGCAGGTGTTAACTCTCACCTGTCTTGGCCTTCAGAGGCTCGTAGTCAAAGATGGCGACTCCGGTCGTCTCACTGCCAGTGCCGGCGGTGGTTGGGACTGAAACACAGTCACAGGTAAACAACATCAACACTGCTACAGGTCACCTATGGAACCTTTACACACACCTGAGCAGGTGAGTGAGTTGACCCCCAACTCCCCACCCCTCACCTGCACTTTACTGTTTGAGGAACCTTGACCAGCTTCTAACTGATAAGACAAGACAAGGTCACCTGTTCACCACCTGAGCTCTGGTACGAAAAACACGTGAACAGGTGGAGGACACAGGTGAGGCTGACAGCAGTGATCAGCTGATCAGTTATTGATCATCACTGATCAATGATTCATTAATAATCTTTAACTGTTCACTGACTCCACACTACTGTCTTTATTATAAACATTTATTCTGTTTTTTTTAAACTGTTTAAACTGTTATTCTGTCAATCACGCCTAAGTGTCCTGACCCCGCCCCTAGCCTCACTGAGTGGTTGCCATGGTAACCCTTTGCGTTACCTGCAATGAGCGGCTTCACAGCTTTGGTGATCGGCTTCCCTTTACCGATCGGGGCGTTGACAAAGTCCAGGAAGTCGGCGTCAGGGTGACAAGCGTACAGGTTGGCTGCTTTACAGGTGTCGATCACTGAGCCCCCACCCACCGCCACAAACACGTCGAATGAGTCGTTTTTAGCAAACGAGATGGCGTCTTTAAAACTGAAGAACCAGACGCACACAGAAGAGAAGATGACGTTCATGTTTCAGAGAAATCTCTCAAGTGTAGAAACAAGAACTAAACCACTAATCCTCTTTTTACTCTTTTGATAAAAGCCACTTCAAAATCCAAGATGGCCGTCATTTCTAACAAGGAAATGTTATTTTTTACAATAATTTCATCCACTATTTTCTCATTTGAATAATCATCAGACATTTTAACAAAGTAAAAGGTTAAAACTTAAGTACACTGTAAAAAATGAAATGAAAGTACATTTCAGCAAAAATCACAAAAAAGCTTGCTAACTAGCCTAGTGCTAGCAAGTTAGCCTAGAGCTAACGTTAAGACAAATAAACAAGTAGACTGTCTACAGAACCTGGCTCATCATTCATAATAAATGGTTTGTAAACACACTTGAGTTTAATCCAGGTTCTTCAGGAGTTTGACTTCAACGTCCTTGAAGTTTTTTTCAAGAAAAATTTCAAGTGGCAAATTGGATTTTCCAAATTAATGGCTCAGAGGGAAAACTATACCAACAGATTATTACAGTTATCCTCATCTTCATCATCATCAAATCAAACTACAGACTCTAACATGTTTAAAAACAGCTTTTAACTATTTTTATTTAGTGGTTCTCAGTCAAAAAAGGAAGTTTGAATGACATCACTTCCTGTCTCAGGTCACACATCAGACACTGAGCCACACAACACAGAGTAAGGATTTGTTGGGACCAGAGTCCTTGCAAGGACGGTGTGGAAACAGGTCTATGTACCCATAAAGATTGATGTGACAAACTGTTGTCTGCGTCCCCAGAAGGTAGCAAAATTAAAATGATCATTGTCTCTACAGCCGACAGCCAATCAGAGAGCAGCACCGTACATTCACCTGTGATGCCCTCACCTGGTGTCGGTGGGCTCCACCCGGACGTTGTCGTACACCTTGTACTTGATTCCGCTCTTGGCCAGAGACTCCAGGACGGCCTTCACCGGGGGAAGGCGGGACAAGTTCTTGTCTGTCATCAGACAGACGTTCCGGGCTCCGAGGTTCTGCAGGTCCTGCGGGAGAACCGGAGAACAGACATATGTTAGACAGACACACCCTATTGATAAAACACGTTAGCCACTTGAAAATTCAAGATGGCCGCCATTTCTGGCAAGGAAATGTTATTTTTTAAAATTCATCCACTATTTTCTCATTTGAATAATCATCAAACATTTTTACAATGTTGAAGTTTAAAACTTTAGTACACTGTAAAAAATGAAATCAAAGTAAGTTTCAGCAAAAATCATAAAAAGCTTGCTCACTAGCTTAGCACTAGCAAGTTAGCTTAGAGCTAATGTGACGTTCCGGGCTCCGAGGTTCTGCAGGAGAACCGGGGAACAACGACACGGCTCAGTCTGACCTGCAGAGCTCTTCACACTTCTCAGTGTGAAGAACCTTTATCCACAGCTTCCTGTAGAATCAAGGTGTGATGATGATGATGATGATGATGATCTAGTTACCATGCCGATCTCCCTGCTGACTCCTTCTCCATATCTGATGTTGGAACTCGCCATCTGACGGACACAAACCACAAACTCTCAGCCTGTTTCTGACTGAAGCTCCCTCCTGACGGGAAAATTTATTTCATGTAATAAACAAAGACAGAAAACTTGAACTTTTTTTAGCTGCTCAAAGTTTCCTGATTTTGAAAATGTCTGACGGTAAAAATATGTTTAAAAGTTTCACTTTTCAAGTGTAAATGAACATGTTTTTGAACAAACGCAGACTTTGTGTTGGATTTTAGAGTCTCAGTGAGTCTAGCTGATTAATTAAAGATTGATTGAATTGAATGAAAAATAAAAATAAACTGATTTGACTGACAAGCTGCTAAACTGATGATTTTTGGAGCAGTCTGGTGTGTGTTACCTCGAAGGCGTAGTCGGTTTTCCTGACCGTACATGTTGCAGCTCCAGAACCTGTAGGAAAAACTGTGTGTGTGAATTACTGATCAATCAATAAAGGATACATAATATTGATCCAGGTTAATCAGAACTTCAATGAGTTACAGATGTGGTGATTAAAATTCTTCATTATTCTCAGTTGAGACCAAACTCCCTCCACGTCGCCCTGACCCAAGGTTATCAGTCAGTAAATACCAACACTGATTGACAAACCTGTGGAGCATCACATGCGTGTGAATGTGTGAATGGACACGTGTGACTGTGGAGACACTGAATACCTTGGTGGAAGGTGTTAGAGTGAGCGGGACATCTGCACCTGTTTACAAAGACAGAAGTCCATTAGAAACCTGCAGGTTTCATCAAAGGTCCAGTCCAGTTCTGAAGACCAAGACCAGGACCTCAGTCCTCAGACCTGAGACCTGAGACCTGAAACCAAGACCTGGACCTGAAACTGAGACTGAGACCCGGACCCCGCAGGCTCCTTAAAAGGCCCCTGCTTAAAGCTCCCCCACATGAGTCACTTGTTCTCAACAGGTGACTCATGAAAACCGGTTTAAAAGTAGAAATGAAAGTTTCCCGCTCTGTCACACCTGAGCCGGACTGTTACAGACCCCCTCCTGGTCCCGGATCTGGTTCCTCTGATCTCTCCTCTGAATAATCTCTGACTTTGAACCAAATATTTTAAAACTGTCAAATTTTTTGAACGGAGTTCGGCGTCGACCCCTCCCCCTCTGACTGAGACGTCACCGCGGGTTGTTTTTTCATTTCAATTTTCATTTTAAATCAGATTTTAAATGAACGTGGATCAAACTTACGCCGCGCGCTCGAGCTGCCTGAGCAGGTGAACGACCCGGTCTCTTCCTGCCATCTCTGCAGTGTCAATGATCCTCACGAGCCGCGGACCGAGATTAAAACTAACGGGCGTCAAGTCACCTGCACGCGGGACAGGAGACACTACTTCCGTCTACACTCATTTCAAAGTAAATGTCGCACTCATTTAATATTTTACCTTACATTACATTAACTTCCTCATTAATGATGACGTCATTGATGATTGATGGATTTAGTACTTAAACTGAATAAAGGGTTTAAGGGGTAAATTAAGGGGAAAGTCGGGAACCCCTTAAAATCTGCTTATTTCAAATTAAGAGCCTTTTAAAGGCTTTAGATTTTCAAAGTAAAGGACACATGAAGGATCTCATGTTTGTGTTAAAGTTGTTTTTCCTCTTGAAGCCTAATAAACAGTCAAAGGTCAGAGGTCACAGCAGATACACAAACACTCTGGAGGGGTTTTAGTTTTCTGACAGGTGTGTGTGTGTGTGTGTGTGTGTGTGTGTGTGTTTGAAGAGACTCAATGCTGACACATCGACCTTTAAACAAACTCTCTGACGTTTCGCTGCTTTTATTTTATTGTTTGTTTGTTTGATGAGTTTTTCCACTGTGAAGAAAAAACATGAAACATTTAATTCGTCCATTAATTATCTGAGAAGATTCAGGTTGCAGTCCAACACCAGCCTGTCGCACCTGTGAGTCTCACCTGGGAGCTGCATCCCCAGGTAACCATGTCAGTCCCTCCCTGATGAGGACCATGAGCTGAAAGGTGCAGGGTCATTGAGTGATGAGGTCACATGTTGTTGTTAACCCTTTCAGCTCGTCTTCTTCTTCCTCTGTTTGTAAAGACAGACTCACCTGTGGAACTCCTGCTGAGCCTCACTGCCTCGCTGCAGGAGACGAAGGTCAAGCCTCCAGTCCACGCCAAGCTGAGAAAGGTCACATCATCTTCATCAGCCTCATCTTCATCATCTCCATCGTGGAGGTCGTCTCCTCGCCTCCACCTCTAACAACATGTCAGCTGCTGTTTGTTTGTTTGAAATGTCTGAGAAAAGGTCAAAGAAAAGTTTAAAAAGGAAAACACACTGTCTGCTGAGGATGAAGATCATCATCATCATCATCATCATCTTCAATGAGGCAGAGTGAGCAGAGCCCCGCCCTCCCTGAGACTCAGATAAATAGACTGAGCTCAGAGTTTGTTTGACTGAGGAGACACGGAATCAGACGATCAGGTAAGACACTGAATTTACCTATTGTATTGATTATTATTAATTTATTGATTCTCAGGAGGGAAGTTAGAAGCAGCTGCAGGAAAGTAGATTATTATCATTATTATTGTTATTATTATCATTATTATTATCTGAGTGTGTGTTGGTGTTCACACGTTGCCATTGATCAGAAACCACCTTAAAACCTTCAGGAGGAGGAGCCAGGTCAGAGACAGGAAGTCACACCTTTTTCATGCTGACATCATCAGCCCTCCATCTCCCCTGACAAAGGCAGCAGCGGATCGTATTGACAACGTTGTGTTTGTGTGTACGTCTCTGGGTTTTCTGATTCCTCAGGAGGTCTTTGAAGGCATCGTCCAGGTTGCAGCAGTGGAGATGAAGCTGAACTTGTCATTGTGGCTCGTGGCTCTGCTCGGTGTCCTCCCCCCTCCCTCTGCTCACTGTGGACCCACTGTCGCTCCTGCCGGTCCCCGCCTCCCCCGACCGCTGCTCCTCCGCCTGGGGGAGGAGTTCTCCCTGCAGCTGGGTGGAGGTGGACTCTCCTCCCCTGTTGCTGCTCCAGACCTCCTCATCTCCTCCTCCTCGGGGGTGAACCAGGCTCTGCTGCAGCTCACACAGCGCCTCCTGCAGCTGGAGCAGCAGCAGCAGGAGGAGGAGGAGGAGGTGGTGGAGGAGGAGAAGGGGAAGAGGTCCGAGGAGCCTCCCATCTCTCTGGACCTGACCTTCCACCTCCTCAGGGAGGTGCTGCAGATGGCCCGGGCAGAGCAGATGGCCCAGCAGGCCGACAGCAACCGCAGGATGATGGACAGCTTCGGAAAATAAAAGACTTTACTTCCTGTCCAGTGTCGTCCTCACTGAGTTTTTACAGTCTGAGCTTCATTTCTTGTTATCTCCTTATCAGGTCCTTGCTTGTGTTGTATAAACTCTAATATGTACGTCGCTTTGGATAAAAGCGTCTGCCAAATGACATTGTAGAATTGTAGAATTTAGCAGCTGCTTCACTTTAGCTTCGCCTCAGCTTCACTTTGACTTCGCCTCAGCTTCACTTTAGCTTCACTTTAGATTCACCTCAGCTTCACCTTAAATTCACCTCAGCTTCACCTCAGCTAAACTTTAGCTTCACTTTAGATTCACCTCAGTTTCACTTCAGCTTCACTTTAGCTTCACCTTAGCTTCGCTTTAGCTTCACCTCAGCTAAACTTTAGCTTCACTTTAGATTCACCTCAGCTTCACCTCAGCTAAACTTTAGCTTCACTTTAGATTCACCTCAGCTTCACTTTAGCTTCACCTCAGCTAAACTTTAGCTTCACTTTAGATTCACCTCAGCTTCACCTCAGCTAAACTTTAGCTTCACTTTAGATTCACCTCAGCTTCACTTTAGCTTCACCTCAGCTTCACTTTAGCTTCACCTCAGCTTCACTTTAGCTTCACTTTAGATTCACTTTAGCTTCACCTCAGCTTCACTTTAGCTTCACCTCAGCTTCACTTCAGCTTCACTTTAGCTTCACTTTAGCTTCGCCTCAGCTTCACTTTAGCTTCACCTCAGCTAAACTTTAGCTTCACCTCAGCTTCGCTTTAGCTTCACCTCAGCTAAACTTTAGCTTCACCTCAGCTTCACTTTAGCTTCACCTCAGCTTCACTTCAGCTTCACTTTAGCTTCACTTTAGCTTCGCCTCAGCTTCACTTTAGCTTCACCTCAGCTTCACTTTAGCTTAGCCTCAGCTTCACTTTGACTTCGCCTCAGCTAAACTTTAGCTTCACCTCAGCTAAACTTTAGCTTCACCTCAGCTTCACTTCAGCTTCACTTTAGCTTCACTTTAGCTTCACCTCAGCTTCACCTCAGCTTCACTTCAGCTTCACTTTAGCTTCACCTCAGCTAAACTTTAGCTTCACCTCAGCTTCACTTTAGCTTCACCTCAGCTAAACTTTAGCTTCACCTCAGCTTCGCTTTAACTTCACCTCAGCTAAACTTTAGCTTCACCTCAGCTTTGCTTCAGCTTCACTTTAGCTTCGCCTCAGCTTCACTTTAGCTTCACCTCAGCTTCACTTCAGCTTCACTTTAGCTTAGCCTCAGCTTCACTTTGACTTTGCCTCAGCTAAACTTTAGCCTCACCTCAGCTAAACTTTAGCTTCACCTCAGCTTCACTTTAGCTTCACCTCAGCTTCACTTCAGCTTCACTTTAGCTTCACCTCAGCTAAACTTTAGCTTCACCTCAGCTTTGCTTCAGCTTCACTTTAGCTTCACCTCAGCTTCACTTTGACTTCGCTTCAGCTAAACTTTAGCTTCACCTCAGCTTCACTTTAGCTTCACCTCAGCTTCACCTCACTCACACAAGTTTAAATAACAAGTCAACACAACACAGGCTTGTAGTGGAGAGTCGCTCTAAACAACAAATAAACAATTTAAATGAACAACTAAGGAAAAATGATAGAAACATTCAGGAAATGATTAAAGGAGGAGTACACCCCTCCCTTCAGAACTCCTTCAGAAGCTCCACCCCCAAAACCCATGAATGCACATTTCCAAGGCAACGACCAGGTGGTGGAAGAGTCAATCCAGATAAACAAATCTGATAATATGAAACATCAACAAACAAACATGAAAACAAACAAACTACAGTAAAAACTACAGAGTTGTTCAGATTGTTCTTCTAAACTACATTGACAGAGGAAAGACTGTAGGTCTGTAGCTAAGCTAACAAGGACGCTAACATTACCTAGCATTTCCAACTATGTATCCAACCAAATAAATCCACTGTGAACGAGAAACTTGCTCTATAATCAGCTGATTTCACCTCATGGATCTGAGCTAAAACATATTTAAATCAATTCTAAAATAATTACAGAAACATGCATTTATATTTAAATTAATACACAAAAATATAAAACATTGAATATTAAAAATAAATAGATTGAAACTATAATTAATGTAAATTTAAGGATTAAATACACACATTCACAAATAAACAATTAACTGCCTTTAATCTAAATTTCTACAAATCTACTATTAATCTATGAGGAAATATGAATGTGAAAGTGAATAAAGATTTCCTTATTTCCTTATTTATGAACAGCTGATGTCAGATCCTTTATGAGATAACATCTTTACCTGGTCTGGTCCTGTTGGACCAGGTGTGGAGCTTCTTGAAACCAGACTCAATGAAGGAAGAGAACCAGCTTAATAAGAAAACTATCATTTATTTGACACGTTCACACAACTAATGGATCATCAGAGATCATTGATTAAGAATGTCTTCTGTTAAAACCTTCAACAAACGTCCTCAGACCGGGTCAGACTGATCCAGGTCCTGGACTGGTGTCACTGGTTGCACTGATTCTATTTCTGGTTGAGCCAGCTGAAGGAGAAGACGTGTTTGGGTCCATCTTTGTCCTCCGACTCGTTCTGCTGGTCACACTGAACCTGCAGAAGAAGGAGGAGGAGAAGAAGAATGACGTCAGACAATCAATAATCTCATCATCTCTCTCTGGAGTTTCAGGCCCTGCCCACAATCAATCAACGTTATCCAATCAGATCGATCAATTAGAGGCTCCAGTAAATGATCATTGATCAACAAGCATACCTGGGGGGTGGCACTGGCAGTGGGGACAGGCAGAGGGGGTGGGGCCTGACTGAGTGATGATGGAGCAGGGCTTTTAGTATGTGTGGTCACTGTGGGCGGTGCCTCTGAGGATTTCTGAGGGGGCGGGGCTGAGAACTGAACAGGTGAGAGAGGAGGGTGCTGATTGGCTGTAGCTGCTGCAGGTGCATCTGGCTGCTGCGACTCAACTCGACTGTCTGACGTCCCTCTGACCTCCACCTCATCTTCATCATCATCATCATCATCGTCGTCTTCTTCAGCTGAGGGGAAACACAGGGTTAGCTAACATATTAGCATACACTATGGTAGCTCCATGTTAACACATTAACATACTATAGTAGCATGAGACTACGGTCATTTAGCATCATGCTAATACATAAGCTTTATGTTAACATTAGATACTACCATGTAGTTTTACTTGTTAGCACTCAACTCCTTTAGAATGCACTGCTCTGATTGATAGTAGCCTACAGCTAACACATTAAAAAACATTCCAATGACTACGCTAACTGAACATCCTATGTGCTAACATGTTAGCACGTTCCAAGGTGTCTTGTCTGTGATTGGTCAAACAGACACTTCCTTTGTGTGTCACCTCTGATGAAGTCGACGTTGCTCAGCGCTCGCCGCTGACGATCGAAGTTGGCTGTGAAGTGCTCCATATTCTCGTAGCCATGTTGGAGTTTGTCCAGGTGAGACGTGTTGGTGCCCTCCACAATTCTGATCAATAAAAAGACAATAATCAATTAACACTGCAGTGATGTTATTGCACATCAGATACAGTCGTATTGTTCAATACTCACTTCTGTAGCAGAGGTTTGGTCGTCTGTGGGAGACAAATCAAAGTTATTGATAACATGATTATTTTCTACATTGATCTGATCGGTTCTGATCACTCTCATATGTTCAGGTTTTAATTATAATTCAAATGTTTTTATCATGCCCTTCAAAATAAAACTCTGGAAGCTGTTCTTCAGTCAAAACAGGAAGTAACAACATGATGACATCACCATGACAATGACATTTTTATATCTGCACCTGGACAGCACTAGTTTCAGTTCACCTGCAGGAACACGGCCATCTCGGACTCGTCCATGGTCTGGATGGCGGTCTCCAGCAGCTTGGCCGTGTTCTCCATGTGCTCGTTGTACTTCCTCCTCAGACCTCGGATGTAGTCCAGCTTCTCTTCCTGTTCACAGGTGATCCTCACTGTCATCTCACATTTCTTCTCCTCCAGGAGGGCGAACAGGTGATCGAACGTCTCGCACACCTTCGACTTCTGTCTGCTACCATTGTCCTGAAAGCACACAGTCACAAAACCTCAGGTAATCCAGTTGTGCAGCAGGTGTGAGGTAAACCTCAGGTGAAGCAGGTGGATGAACTCACATTGACAGCTCTGCAGGTTTCCTCCAGCTGAATGATGATCGCCTGAATCCTCTCATTGTTCCCAACAAGCATGGAGATACAGTCAGTCAACTCCGCCTACACACACACACACACACGCACGCACGCACGCATGCACACACACACACACATACACACACATGACATCACTACAGCAGTAACACCAGTGATGAACAGCTTCACTGTGATGAACAGAGATGTACAACAGTACAAGTACCTCAAAACTGTACTACAGTGAAGTACTAGAGTTAATGTACTTGTTGTCGTTATTGTCGTTGTTGTGATGTCGTTGTTGTGTTGATGTTGTTGTGTTAATGTTATGCTGTTGTTGTTCTATTGATGTTGTTGTGTTGATGTTGTTATTGTGTTGTTGTTGAGTTGATGTTGTTGTTGTGTTGATATTGTTGTTGTATTAATGTTGTTGTTGTGTTACTTTCTGTTTAGTAAACACGTTGTCAAGCGGGGCAACCTCACAGTCTTTGTGTTACTGTGTTGTTGTTGTGTTGATGTTGTTGTTGTTGTGTTGTTGTTGTTGTGTTATGTTGTTGTATTGATGTTGTTGTTGTTGAGTTGATGTTGTTGTGTTGATGTCGTTGTGTTGTTGTGTTGATGTTATGTTGTTGTTGAGTTGATGTTGTTATTGTGTTGATGTTGTTGTTGATGTTATGTTGTTGTTGTATTGATGTTGTTGTTGTGCTGATGTTGTTGTTGTTGAGTTGATGCTGTGTTGATGTTGATGTTGTTGTTGTGTTGATGTTATGTTGTTGTTGAGTTGATGTTGTTGTGTTGATGTTGTTGTTGTATTAATGTTATTGTTGTGTTACCTTCTGTTTAGTAAACACATTGTCGAGCGGGGCCAACTCACAGACTTTGTGTTACTGTGTTGNCACACACACACACATACACACACATGACATCACTACAGCAGTAACACCAGTGATGAACAGCTTCACTGTGATGAACAGAGATGTACAACAGTACAAGTACCTCAAAACTGTACTACAGTGAAGTACTAGAGTTAATGTACTTGTTGTCGTTATTGTCGTTGTTGTGATGTCGTTGTTGTGTTGATGTTGTTGTGTTAATGTTATGCTGTTGTTGTTCTATTGATGTTGTTGTGTTGATGTTGTTATTGTGTTGTTGTTGAGTTGATGTTGTTGTTGTGTTGATATTGTTGTTGTATTAATGTTGTTGTTGTGTTACTTTCTGTTTAGTAAACACGTTGTCAAGCGGGGCAACCTCACAGTCTTTGTGTTACTGTGTTGTTGTTGTGTTGATGTTGTTGTTGTTGTGTTGTTGTTGTTGTGTTATGTTGTTGTATTGATGTTGTTGTTGTTGAGTTGATGTTGTTGTGTTGATGTCGTTGTGTTGTTGTGTTGATGTTATGTTGTTGTTGAGTTGATGTTGTTATTGTGTTGATGTTGTTGTTGATGTTATGTTGTTGTTGTATTGATGTTGTTGTTGTGCTGATGTTGTTGTTGTTGAGTTGATGCTGTGTTGATGTTGATGTTGTTGTTGTGTTGATGTTATGTTGTTGTTGAGTTGATGTTGTTGTGTTGATGTTGTTGTTGTTTTGTTGTTGTTGTTGTTGTTGAGTTGATTCTGTATTGATGTTGTTGTTGAGTTCATGTTGTTGTTGAGTTCATGTTGTTGTTGAGTTCATGTTGTTGTTGAGTTCATGTTGTTGTTGAGTTCATGTTGTTGTTGAGTTCATGTTGTTGTTGAGTTCATGTTGTTGTTGAGTTCATGTTGTTGTTGAGTTCATGTTGTTGTTGAGTTCATGTTGTTGTTGAGTTGATTCTGGATTGATGTTGTTGTGTGGATGTTATGTTGTTGTCTTGATGTTGTTGTTGTGTTACCTTCTGTTTAGTAAACACGTTGTCGAGCGGGGCCACCTCACAGTCTTTATGTGCTCCGAACACCTTACACAGAGAACAGGTGGGGACGCTGCAGCTCACACAGTAGATGTTGATCTTCTCCTCCTCATGCTCCTCACACATCGGCTGCTCCTGCTTCACCTCCACAGGTTTACTGCTGACACACAGACATGTGGATGTTATTTTAAACAGTGAGTGTCTCAGAGTGTTTGAAGCTCAAAATTAACAATATTAAATAAAAACTCTAAATATATCAATGAACTAATAACCTGTGAATAACCATGTAGTGATGCACAGAGTGATGTCACACATGCTCAGTCTGGTCCACACACACACACACACACACACACACACACACACACACACAGACACACACACACACACACACACACACACACACACACACACACACACAGGAGGCAGAGACCATTCAACAAGCACATACGTGTCTGTAAAATCCCAGCCAGATCACAGGACATCTCACATAAAAATGTAATGTACTACAGATTCCATACCATTCAGCGGAAACCCACAATGTTAACAGGAAACCATCATCTAGGTGTGGTGCATACTGGGAAGAGTGAACAAAGTATGTCAGAGTTATAACCACTTCCTTTTTCAGAATTCTGCATATTACCATGAGGTGGCGCTATGAGTATTACCAATAATGATCATGGATATGTGTTCAGGGTGGGTCTCTTGTCAAACCTATAAGGTTTGGGGGCAGTTTGGAACATGTGTGTTGGAATGAGAGCGAGTTGAATTTTCATGGTGAATGATCGAAATTTCACCGCGCTGCCATGGGCGTGTCCTTTGACCAAAACTCAAAAGCTCTTCAGTGTAGCATTGCACCGGTCAGAAGATGAGGATAAACCACCAATGATCTTGGAATTCGACAATATGTCATTGACCATAAAGCCACTTACTGGTTCGTATTTAACTTGCCGCCAGAGCCACGCCCTTCAAGGAAAGGTCACAATTTTCACAGGACAGCATCAACACCTTCCCAAAAGTATTTAATGACCCTTTTGATGAGCACTTGGTCAACTCTCTGGGAATAATAAATGAAAAGAAAATCATAATATCACACGTTGCCATGAGGTGGCACTATGAGTATCACTGAATATGAGCATATGAGTGTGTTCAGGGTGGGACTGATATCACACACAGAAACTTTGGGGTCATTTGGAGAATTTGTGTTGAAATGAGAGCGAGTCGAATTTTCTGGGCGAAGGATCAAAATTTGCTGCACTGTCGCGGGCGGTTCCTCCAACGAAAACTGAAAAACTTCACAATTTAACTTCACAAAGGTCTTAAGATGACACTCACCGCACACCATGTCGATCTGATGAATTCCCTAAGAGGAGTATGACGACTTGAAATTGCAAAAGTTGCAGATTAATGCCAAAATATCTCACTTCCTGTTGGGTTTAGGGTCTGGGTTGTACATGGTAAGTTTGGTGCATGTAGGTGAAACCCTGTGCGATTTGTGCAGCAATAGGCGGCGCTCACAGCGGCTACTCAGTGTTACATGCTGCCATCTTGTCCTCAGAGATTCTCCTTGTCTGAGTAACTCTCGCAAGACTTTGCTGTGACGCTCCCTGAACACTTCTCAGGTAGCATTACTGACACCTGCTGGCGCTTCTGCCTCATTACACTGGTGGTGAACTGAACCCTGAACACTTTCTCCAAGACCTTGAAAGTGACATATTATGCAAAACAACACATAAAAAATATTTCCACTTATTTTAACCTCTTGATTTTACTGGAGAAATTTCATGTTCATAAGGTGAAATTTCTTAAATCTATTCCCTCCTTGTTTCAAACTGATCTTGAACGTTATTTTAAGTCTCTCAAATTATTAACAAACAAGAAATCCATGTCAGCAGTTAATACATATATTCTGAAATGTTTGTCTGAAGAAGTCTGTCACTTAAATTATATAAGTGTCCTTTTTTTAATTAATGTATTTGTGGTTTTTTTTTAATGAATTTTTTTTTAATGAATTTTCATCTTTTTTGTCGAAATTTTATCTGTTTCTTTTATTCAAGAACTAATATGTCTGATTGTTTGTAAAACTTAAAATTTAAATAAAGAAAAAAATGAACACTTTCTCCCCATAAACACATAGGAAACATAAACCAAAATACTGTGTAGCCACATACATGACATCACATTCTGTAACTAACTAATTTATTTATATATACACTTCATACTTCTCTTTATTCTGTCTGTTCTGTGAAGTCCCGAAGTTCAATAATATATAATTAATCAATGACTAAATGGTTCAGACATTACTCACTATGATGAAATGTGACAGTTACAGTGTCAATGAGTCTGTATCAGTGTCTGAGCTTTCAGGGAAGTGACGCAGTGACGTACAGTGCACGAGTCATATACAACTGTTTTATAGAAAACAGGAATGATCATTAACATTTATTTATGTCATTATTTATTTATTTAATACAATTTGATTTAATACTGAACACACCGACTGATAAATAAAGTTTCATGTCATCAGCTCGTCCTGCTGCTCTACACACTATAATAATCTGACCTACATTCACAAATAGACTGAGAGTCAACGACACAAACACCTTCACTGAACCGTCACATCCAGCAGTGACAGTCGGACAGCGCCCTCTAGTGGTCAGGTCAACACCGTCTATCTGATCACACAAGACACAGTGGACAGAATGACCTGACCAATCACAGCCGGGGGCGGGGCTTACCAGCGATGACATCGGCTGGTATTGTGTAAATAGAAAGATATCTGTGTCAGACTGATCAACACTGCTGAAGCTGATGAACTGCAACAAGTCAATGAAGTTTATAGATTTTATTATTATCAATATATAAAATATATATATAATATTTTTATATATTAATTACATGTATTTATAGTTTTAATTTATTTTTCTTGTTGGTTTAAAAATGTCAAAATAAAATAAAAGTTTAGTGATTTTCTGTTTGTTTTAGGTGAACTGGCCCTTAATAATTCAGACCTCTGACCCAGTGTGCATGTGCACAGGTGTGTTTTTATGTGTGTACAGGTTGTTCTGCTGTTTCCATGTTAAAGCTCCTCCAGTGTAAAGGTCTGTGTCCATGTGTAGTGTGATTATAGATCAGCTCTAGCTTCTATATTAATACTGTGAAAGTATCAAAGCCTCAGTCCACAGAGAAATGCACACAGCCTGTATTCAGAAACTGAGCCTTAAAACCAGCCGTCAGGACTTCTGGAACTTTGTGATGTCACAACAAAGCAGTCACCAAGCCCCGCCCACCTGGACCCACCATCCAAACCTTGCAGGATTTGGTTTCTCTGAGTGTTTTTACCTGAAATCTGCTATATTTTTATTGGATCACTCAGAAAACAGTCAGCCAATCAGAAGAGAGGCTCAGAGTCTCCTCTCTTCTGATTGGCTCACTGACCTGTTGTTACTAGAGCTCCAGAGAGAAGCCTGAGAGAGGAGATGTAAAACTACACAGAGATGGTTTTTATATGTTCTGATGGATCAACACTTCAAATAAAACACAGAAGAAGAAACATGGAGCTTTAAAGAATCCCAGGGAGAACTTTACTGCTCCGCTTCTCACTGGTAATACTTCTACTTTAAGGTCCCTGCGGTTATAGACAGACTCAGGTGTGTGTGTTACCTGGTGCTCCCCTGTTTGTACATGTCGATGATGTTCTCCACCAGCAGGTTCCTCTGCAGGCCGTAAACTCCGTGTCGGTCCAGGACCACTTCATGGCGACAGGACGGGCAGCGGAAACGACCGCCGGACGTCATCGTGGAGCCGCTTCTCGTCGACAGGTAGGGATTGGACGCCTGCAGGGGGGCGGGGCAAAACACAGGTAGAGAGGTGTAACACAGACTGAAAGTTATTGTTAAAGAAAACTATGCGTGTTTTTTTTCTCTGATTAAATGAAAACAAAATCACATGAGCTCAGATGAGATTTTCCTTATTTTTAATCTTTTAATAAAGTCACAATCAGGTCGTTTGTGTCACTCAGTGAGAACGAACAGGAAGTCAGTGTTTGCTGCTCCTGAATGTCACCTGCTCACTGAGTCTGTCAGTCTTCAACACTCTGCATCATGATGCATTTGTGTTCTGGTGTCTGTGATCTGCAGTGTCCATTATGTCCAATAAGACTTCTTCACAAAGTTCAACAAAGAGTCAGAAACTGTTTGTTCCTGTTCGACCTGTGTTTACCTGTGTTTACAGCCTCGGCCTCACATCACGCCCCCTGGTAGTCAGAGGACTCACCCACATCAAATACAAGCTCCTTCACTGCTGATATCATGAGACTGTGTCACTTCCTGTTAGCATCAGTGGAACATGTGTAGTCAGCTGAAGCAGGTTCTTTTGAAGAACGTTACCTTTAACAGCTGCAGTGACAGTTTCACTGTTTCACTTCACGTGTTACAAACCAAACATCTGTCAGTCACACAGCTGTGAATCAGCTGTGATCGGCTGTGATCAGCTCCTGTCCTCGGTGTATCATGATGTTTCACTGTGACACTGAAGGAAACTTAAAAACAGGAGTCTGAATAAAGTTCTGCAGCCTGGAGCTTTATTGTGGAGGGACATCCTCAGGAAGTGAGGTCACACTGGAGATAACTATGTGGATCTGCTTTCTATACATGAAACATCAGTGTGTCTGATGCTGTCTATTTTATGAATGACCATAACTCTTTCCTCATGTCACTGTCCTTGTGTAGACAAATACCTGAAATACCTAAACAAATACCTGTTTCTGTGCTAAGATGTCAGAGTGTCCTTGAACGCACCAACAAGGAGACTCGTGTTTGAACAGTAACACAGGCTGAAACAACAAACACACTGAGCTGAGAGCAGCCTCCAGGTGCTCTGTCTCTTTAAGGCGCGCTCACCTGTGCGTGCACCTCACCTGGAAGACGTCGTTGGCGCACTTGCGGCAGAGGTTGTGTTGGCAGGGCAGGATGACCACCGGCTTGGTGAACATCTCCAGACAGATGGGACACACGAGCTGCTTCTCCAGACTCTCCATGATGCTGAGAGACGCCGAGGAGCCGGGGGGGCGGGCACCGTCACCGGGGGAGGAGGAGGGAGGACTGGGGAGGAGGGGGAGACGTCCCAGAGTCTAATAAAATAAATAAAAGTAAAGAAGCAGCAGCAGCAGCAGAGAGGAGCGTGGAGGTGTTGTAGTGTTGTAGTGTGGGGGTGCGGGGGGTCTGTGAGGAAAGGAGTCTGTTTTTAGACAGACTGACGTCAGCCGTTGCCTTGCCGACAAGTCCTTATATGTCAAAGGTCACGGGGAGGCATGACGGAGCAGGGGGATGGGGGGTGAGTAAGCAGGACAGAGTTTATTAAAGAGACAGTGACAGTGTGAGAGGAGCTCAAGAGGCTGCAGCGCCCCCTGCTGCTCAGACATGAAGCCATTTTAATCTTTATTAAATAAAAAAATAATTTAAAAGCTTTTTATTGAAAAAATGACATTTTTATTTATTTCCGGAGACCTTTTATAATCATTTTATAATTCATGTTTTTAAACAGACTTGTTTTATGAATCATAATATTATGGATTATGAAATAAAAGCCCCCTGAAATAAACAAAAAAAATATTTCCAGAGACTTTTACCTTTAGTGGGCACAGCAGTTCTGACAGGAGGAAGTCAGGTGACGTAGTATAAAGAGGGGGAGGGGAGTGTGTGTTGTTTCTTTTATCCAGGACAATGTTAACCACGTTTGTTATTGTTACCATGGCGATGAAGGTCCAGTACACCTGCTGTTTCAGGAGATGTTCCTCTAGGTCGAGTCAGACACTGACCTGAGATCAGCTGTGGTCCAATCAGTGAAGAGACCATCAGCTGTTTGTTGTGGCACCCTCTACAGGACAGACGGACACACAGCAGGCTGTTCAAACACTTTATTCATCTGAGCACATGACCACAGGTGTGGTCTCATGTACCAGGTGCACTCTCAGCTTCATTCAGAAATAAATATCAACAAAACAAACAAAACCAAAACAATATTTACATCAACAATGAGATTTAAATCACGTTACCATGGTTACAGTTTACAAAACGTAAAGAGCAACGATCTAATGTTGAATCATAACTTTTATTTATAATTAGTGTGTGAACAGTCTGAATGTGTGACACAGACCAATCAGAGAGAGGGGGCGGGGTTACATCTGTGTTAAAGGAACAGTCTGACATTTTAGGAAAACTACAGTCCCTGAACAACCAAAAGACAGAGCTGCCCTCAGAGAACCTGCAGGTTACCTGGAGACAGATACCTCATCACAGAGACAGAGACAGACAGACAGAGACAGACAGAGAGAGACAGACAGAGAGACAGACAGACAGAGAGAGAGAGACAAAGAGAGACAGACAGACAGACAGACAGACAGACAGACAGACAGACAGACAGACAGAGACAAACAGACTGAAAGACAAAGAGACAGAGAGAGAGACAGACAGAGAGACAGACAGACAGAGAGAGACAGACAGACAGACAGACAGAGAGAGACAAAGAGAGACAGACAGAGAGAGACAGAGACAGACAGACAGACAGACAGACAGACAGACAGACAAGACAGACAGACAGACAACAGGACAGACAGACAGAGACAAAACAGACTGAAAGACAAAGAGACAGAGAGAGAACAGACAGAAGAGACAGACAGACAGAGAAGACAGACAGACAGACAGACAGACAGAGAGAGACAAAGAGAGACAGACAGACAGAAGAGGAGACAGAGACAGACAGACAGACAGGACAGACAGACAGACAGACAGACAGAGAGAGAGACAAAGAGAGAGACAGACAGACAGGACAGAGAGAGACAAAGAGAGACAGACAGACAGGACAGACAGACAGACAGAGAGAGACAGAGAGAAAGACAGACAGACAGACAGACAGACAGAGAGAGGACAAAGAGAGACAGACAGGACAGACAAGACAGGACAGAACAGAGAGAGACAAAGAGAGACAGAGACAGACAGAGACAGACAGACAGAAGAGGGACAGAGAGAGACAGACAGACAGACAGAACAGACAGAGAGAGAACAAAGAGAGACAAAGAGAGGAACAGACAGAAGAGACAGACAGACAGAGAGGGACAGAGAGAGACAGACAGACAGAGAGGGACAGAGAGAGACAGATAGAGAAGAAATGAGAGTTGTAGTCTTCATGTGTAGGTGTCTCCATATCTGCGCTGTCCGTCAGTGATCAGCTGAGTTTTCTCGCTGGCATTGGTCGGCTGGTGAACGATCGGAGCGCTGGCATCTGGAGGGAAAGAAACACACCTGTCACAGGTGAAGTCTTCAAACCAACTCAACTCATGACCCTGACCTGAGAGCAGTGACATCTCATGTGACACATCCTCCAATGGTGGATGATTGTGGATGATTGGATGATGATTAAAGGATTCTAGTTTACATCAGAGCTCAGAAATAGTTTCAACTGCTCATTAATGAAGTTTTAAAATGACGGATTATTCATTATTCACATAGTGGAGGGGGGTGTGGTCAGCCTGCAGCTACAGGAGAGATAGACAGGTGGAGGTGAGCAGTGACAGGTGAGTCAATATATGATATATATACATCCCTATAAGAGGATACATTATTATCACATATATACATCCTCTGATATATGAAGATATACGTTTATAACATGTATGAAATGTCTATATTAAAAACATCTATGTGATGAATTTTTACCTACATGTTTTCACAGACTTCTGTGTTCACATTATATATTTTATTTATTTATGCAAGTTTATTTATACAACATACATGTTAAAAAATCTATATGTTTATATATGTTCTTCTTTTTCATTAGTTTTAAACTTCACATTCTGGGAAAGTCTCAGACTTTATATAATATCAACATAATATATGGACATGGATATTAATGTAACATCTGTCTATAATAAAAACATATATACATAAATGTATATATTTGTTTAGGCTAGATATACATGTCAATATATCTACATATATCATATATTATGTTTCTGTATGGGATGTTAGAATGCATTCATTATTATTAATTATAAATAAAACACCTTACTACATCATTAAGAGATAAATTAATATTTGAAGATGATTGGTCAGTGCTGCCTCAGATAATCAATCAATAATCTGAACTCATCAACTGATAGATGAGGCTCAGTTTGAATAGGAAGAAGAACTAATACATATCTGCAACACTGTCAAAATGAAAGCTCAGGACTTCCTGTTGTCTCACCGCTGTCGGGGTCGTTGCGTATCTCTTCCTCCAGGTCGTCGGGGGAGATGTAGTCTGACTCCGCCCCCTCACCTGTGGGCGTTGGCTTGAGTTTGCCGCAGCAGCAGTTGCAGCAGCAGCAGAGGCAGCAGCAGCAGTAACAGCCGGTCAGGACGCCGCACACCACAAACGCACCCTGACACACAGACAGCCATTAGTGACACCCTCACTGTCAGTCTCACAGTACAGCAGTGTAAGCCCCGCCCCCTCACCTTGGCCCACCAGGTGGACAGCATGAAGTAGGTGTTGACGTTGTCCTCTCCGAACTGCTGAGCCACGTAGAGTCCCAGAGAGCCGTACGAGTCGTAGATGTTCCTCTTGCTGAGGTCGGACAGGACGGCATGGGCGCTGTTCAGCTCCTTGAACTTCTCCGCTGCCTCCGGGTTCTCCGGGTTCTTATCAGGGTGGAACCGCAACGCCAGCTTCCTGTCACAGACGATAGCTGAAAGCTCTGGAACAAGCTAGTGAGTAATGATCAGCTGCTGCAGGTGAGTGGGTGGGGCTGTGAGCGTCTCACCTGTAGGACTTCTTGATATCGTCATGGCTACAGCCTTTCTCCAGACCCAGGACCTGGTACAGAGACTCTCCAGAGGTGGACAAGGTTCTCTGCCTCCTCTCAGACATCCTGAAACCATCACCTGTCGCAGGTGGACACGAGTCAGAAAGGGACCTGGACCTGGACCTGGACTTACCTGAGTCTCAGCCTCAAACATTCATTTAAACAGCAGATCCACTGGTTTAACTGGTCGGACTGGACAGAAACTTTTAGACAAACTGGTCTACAGAGACTTCCTGTCTCTAGAACCACAGGAAGTGGTTTGTTGATCAGGATCATCATTATTGTTTCAAACTGATGGTCCGACACAAGACAAGACGTCAGTGGAGAGACACCTGTCCTCAGGTACCCCCACCACCACCACCACCCTCACAGCTTACCCCTGACCTTTAACCTTTATACATCTGCTGCTGTTTGTCTGAGTCACCATATTTGTTTCTGTCGCTCAGACAAAACTATCAGATGTACTGATTGGTGATTGGTTTCAGACTCTCAGTCTCTTGTTCATTACTGGACAAACTGAAATGGTTCAGGTCTTAAAACCAGATCCTGTGCCTGTATGAGACCAGGACCAGGTCCAGGTCCTGGACTAATTAGTGACAAATCTAATCAAACAAACAGTAATGGAGTAAACATGAGGGTCAGGGGCCCCTGGAGGACAGGGGCCCCTGGAGGACAGGGGCCCCTGGAGGACTGGGGCCAGCCTTGGCCATAACAACAATATAAGATATAATGTATAGCTCAGTGAACAGAAGCTCAGCAGGAAGTGTGAACCCTGTGATTCAAACACACACAACTTTATTGACAGTTGAATATCTATGACAGAAGAAACACCAGGCGTCCTCTGGAAACCACGTATCTCAGTCTGTGGTCTGTGGACCAGGTCTCACAACTCAGTCGAAACTCTCTGGAGATATTTGGTTTTCACTGGACAGAGGTGAGACATATGATACAGGTGATGATGTCACACAGGTTGGTAGAACATTTGTCGACCTGTAAAGAAATGTGAAGGTAAATGTGAGGATTAAAGAGCTCTTACCTGTGTGTTGAAGCCTTGGAGCGCTCTGTCTACCTGTCCAGGTGTCTGTGCTCCTCGTCCTGACCAAGCGTCTACCTGTCCAAGTGTCTGTGAGGGGATCTCTGACAGCCCCCATCAAACATTCAGCAGCAGCTCGGCTCAGGTGACCGCAGGCTGCCACGCCTGCTCGGGTTTCACCAAGACACTCTGATGAACGCTTTGTGATGGGGAGGGGAGGTTGCCATAACGACCTGGTGGGTGGGGGGTGGGGGCTCAGAGATGTCATTCAACTTAGAACAGTCAACAGAAGTCATAGTAGCAGGTGTGATAGCCTCAGCTGACAGGTCACCTGACAGGTCTCCTCACGGCCTTCCTGTTTGTAGCATCTGCCCTCTTCACTACCTGAACTACACCTGAACAAGGTGTTTTCTTTGAACTGGGGTGCTAGGTGTTTGAACTCTGACAGGTGGAGACCAGGTGTCCTGCTGCAGACACTGGTCACATGTTGAAGCTCAGTGGTTGTTCAGTGTTCAGGTGTGTTCAGGTGTGTTCAAGTGTGTTCAAGTGTGTTCAGGTGTGTTCAGGTGTGTTCATGTGTGTTCAGGTTTGGATTCAGTTCTTAACCTGAGCTGTTTGAACAACTCAACTGACGTCAGTAAAAATCCATCAGTCAAATATCAAAGCTTCTGTTTCTGTTTCTTTTATTTTGAAGGAATCAATAATCATATTAACAGCTGAATGTGTTTGCATTGATACATTGATTGATTCGAATCTGTGATCAGAGAATAAAAACAACACGTCACCTTTAACCTTCTTACAGAGGAAAAGCTAACACGGCTAACTACCTTCATCAGCTGAGGAGGGGGAGGGGCTAACACCTGAACATCAGAAGAGACTCCAGACAGAGGGGGAGGGGCTAACACCTGAGCCTCAAGATGAACTGAAAGAATCAAACAGAATCGAGAACCTTCTTCTTCTGTCAGAGACCAGGAGCAGGACTTGATAGAGAGGGTGAGGTGTTGAAGGTCTGGTTCCCTCAGAACCCTAAAAACAAGAACAGAGTTCTGATGAGAACCAGATCAGGTCTGTGGATCAGCACACGGACAGATGACTTGTTAGAGAAGAGGGTGTGTTTGATTTTCATTCATTACAGGGAAGGAAATACTCACAGCTGATTGGTCCAACAGTGACTGGAAGCTGATTGGCTGATGCTCCAGCAGACCGGGCCTGTCGTCTGGAACAGTTCTAACAGGAACAACAAGAATGTTTCAGGAGAACGTCACCAGGTGCTTCACAATAAAAGACAAAACAAACATCACAACATGATGATAAAGACAAATCTCCAATCTGTAGTATCAAGAAGCTCCTCAAAACCCTCAGAACCCTTCACAATCTTTAGGATGCCTTCAAGGACCAGTGGGAACTTCTCAAGGACCTCTTGAATATTTAAGACCTGTGTAACCTCTTAAGGACCTCTAGAACCTTGTCAAGGACCAATGGGAATCCTTTAAGACCCTTTAGAACTCTGTCAACCTTTCTCTAAGAATGTATGGGACCCCGATAACAATTTCTATAACCTTTTTAAAAATATGGGGCTCCCTTTTAAGAACCTCTAGAACCTTTTTAAGAACCAGTGGGAACTCATTAAGCGCCACTAGAACCTGTTTAAGGATGGACCCATTAAACCCCTTAGGGATGTTTAGGACTTCCAACAACTTGAGGGAGCCTGGTTCTGGGTCGTCCTTCAGGCACCTGAGACTGATTTGTCTGTGGAACCAAGAACCGGCTGCAGTTCACTCACAGAGCTGCAGGGGCCGCTGTCCCGGTCACATAGGCTGATCCTGCAGTGCAGATACACATCATTGTATGTCCCGTGGAACAGGAAGAGCAGTGCCGAGAAGCGAGCTCGCTGCGACCGTCCGTTTTCAACCACCGCCACATGACGACGGTCGACTGGACATCTGGAGGAGAGAGCCAATCACAGAGCAGCTAGTACTCAGAGTCAGCAGAGTTAACATTTGTACAACAAACCTGCTGGCAGAAGGAAAAGCTCAGTGATTGGCTACAGCAGCATCTGGTGGACATTAGAGGCTCTGCAGCTCAGACCTGAGGAGGCTGTGACTCTTTAAATCATGAGAACTGGACTTTTCTTTTCCTGTTCTTCACCTGTGTTTCACATCTTGTCTGAATTAATGTCACTGATATTTTTATTTATATGTTTCTTTTTAAAGTTTTTTTTAAAAAAAAGAAAATCACATTAAAGTGATAAAAAAAACAAAGCTTTTAGGGCTCTATCTAACAAATCATGATTGATTATTCAGAAGATGATTTTCTTAATTAATCAATTACTTGTTTGGTCCAATGTGATGTCTTCAGATGTCTTGTTTTGGTCAGTTAAAACCTGAAGACATAAAATGTCACATTTTGTTCAGTGACTTAACAATTAATCAATTATCAAAATAGCTGTTGATTATTCTTCTGCTGAACTAATTGACTAATCAATAATTGACTAATCACTGCAGCTGTAGTAATGTTCATTTGTAGTTTATACTGAGCTCTGTTCTGTGCAGCCATCTGGACTGACCCCTCACCGGTTCTGGATCAGGGCATGTTGGACCAGATCGTTGGCGCTGGGAGAGTTTGTGACGTAACAGTTCTCCAGAACGAGGACGAAGCCGTTGTTGTCGTAGTTCTCCATGGAGACGCCCACGTGCAGGGCGGAGCCGAGCGGCAGGCTGACCGGGCCGGAGGGAAACGGCTGGCTGTAGTCCGGCCTCTGGTACAGAGTCATAGACGCTCTGGTGGGGTCACCTGAACGCACCACGCCAACTCGACCCCCTCTGAGGACATGAATTACATGTTTGTAAAAATGTTCCTGATCAGAGACAAACTGCAACAACAGTGACTTTACTTTAAGTTTACCTTAACTATGACTGTGTGAATTACTCTAATGAGATTTTAAGGGCATGTTAATGGATTGTAATATATGAAGGTGTCTTTAATGGAGTGTTTATGATTCTTAAGGGCTTTTTAAGGAGAAAAAAAACCTTTAAAACTGACCAAATATCATGAAAATCTAAAATTCAAGGATGACGTTCGTCTTATCTGGTAACCATTAACCATTAACCCGTAGGTAACCATAGTAACCGTGTTGATGCCTCAGATAACTGACAGGTTAAGTACAAACGCATCATGTCAGACAGTCGGACCAATCAGAGGTCGAGGACTAACGGTGGCTGGTATCCGATGGCAGCGTTGAGGCTGGTGACATCATCCAGTGGGAAGACGCAGGTGAACGGGACGCTCATCGGGACGGGGAGAGAGACGTTGGTCGGATCAGCTGGGTACACAAACAACATGTTGGAGTAGGTGATGTGGGTCCCGTTTGTCTGGAACAAAGATAGGAGAACAACTCAGTGATCAGTCCGGCCGTTCTGGCTCCGCCTCCATAAACACCTGCTCTACAGAGACACAAAACAGGTAGATAGTAGATATCTACAAGTAGATATTTGGTCAAAACTGACGTTTGACAACAAAACAGAGAGTCCACAGTAACTGCTGCAGCTATCTGATCGTAAAGCAAAACAAAATGTTAATAACCTGAAGATGGCACTAGAGGTTATTACAGTTCATCCAGAAGGGAACATGAACATCTGAAATACACTTCATCACAGTCTAACCAATAGTTGTTGAGATATTCAGTCAGTGGAGACTGAGCCATGATGCTAACGATGCTAACATGGCTAAAAGGTTGTGTGTAATTTCAGAGAACAAGAGGATGTACACCACAGTTATTACACTCTGACTTGGTTAAGTTAAAGCTAGCAGGTCGATAGCCACAGCTAGCTTTAGCTAAAGCTGAATGTTGTCAGGTATTAGAAACTAAGGACCCAAATGCTGACAGACAAAAAGGGTTTGGTTGGGGAAAAAAAGGGTAATTTAATAGAGAAAACCAAACTTACAACTCAAGCAGAACTCAGAAACAACTTAACAAGTTCAAACATAAACCATTACAAATCTTCTTTTCCCAACCTTTTCCCAGTGTTTGAAAAACCTGTTATGGTGATCTGACATGTCGTTTGTCTCACACAAACATGAGACATAACTAAACCCATCATGGTGGGAAGAGATGTAGGCTAACACCAGCAAAGCTAGCTCTGCTCAAAGGCTAAAAGAGGGTCATTCTGATATTCACTTTATAGCACATAATGGGAACCTGAGAAAGGTGTTCCCCAGTCTCTATTCACTTAATATGACATGAGCGGTTGTGGGAATTCATCACAGGGGTTTCCTGGTCCCCAGCACTGCCACATGGCTCTCAATATAATATATATTATACTAGGGAACTTATCAAATGTTTGGAGTCACCAGATGCCAGTTTGTCCAAGATTGTCCGGTTTCAAGCTGGGTGTCTGAGTCCTGACAAATATCAAATAATAAATAATTGTCCAGGTTTTCACCCCAATTACAAATAATAATTATAATATTAAACTTACATAGACGTTTATCATGTTCTGTCTCAGTCATTATTTCACCCAACATAAAAACATTGATGTCATGGTCAAGGCTGTTGCTAGCTGATAGCTGAGTCTCAGTTCAGAGGCCCCATTCCTTCATGACAGTGGCAGGTCTTTCTGAGAGAACCTGTCAGGATGCTAACTGCTAACTGTTAGCTGTCATGCTGAAGACACAGTCTGTCTTTTCCTAAGAACTCCAGGAGGTTAACGTCTTTCCTCATACGGAACCGGAAATACTGGCTACGAAAATGCTGCGTTCATGGCGTCCATGGTGTTGAAAGGTACCTGTGCACTTAAGGGTCTTAGTTTAGGGGTTTAAAGATGTGGTCACCAAAGGTCATAGCTTAATGCTGCCTTACTCAGGGTTAGTGTGGGAGCCTGGGAACATAGATTTACTGCTGTTGGGAGACTGGTATTCTTGGTACCGGCTCAGACATTGAACCACACTTACCTTCACTACGTTTCCACAGACACCCCTGCTTCGCTCAACCAGGTACCACATCGCCTCCGGATGGTCGACCTGCTGGTGGCAGCGTGGGTCGATCAGGTGAGCGGAGGAGGCATTCAACCCTTGCTCCTGCAGCGCCCTCTTCTGGACCGCCAGGCGCAGGTAGTCCTGTCCACAAACCAGCTCTGGCTCTGGAAAACCCCCTGGCAGACCTGGACCACAAGATAACATACCAAAGAAACAATGCAGCAGGAACATGGCATTGTGGGTATTAGAGTCTTTATTATCACAGCCCAGTCCATGTAAACCTTTAAATTGACATCAACATTTACTGACGAAGTGTTAATTAACTCTTAGAGCACAGTTAATGAACTTCGAGACATGACACTGACCTGAGCAGATGACACCAGCATCTTCACCATGGTTGCAGTTATGAGTGCCGAAACCCCGGTGCTGACACTGTGATAACGCAGACTCACTGCCTACACAGCCAACATCATCCATCCAGATCGGTCCGGCCCCCTGTCCAAACCTGGCAGCAGAAGTTGCAGACTGGGCGGAGCCACAGTTCAGCTGTCTGCAGACCACCCGGGCTTCATTAATGTCCCAGGCATCATCACAAACTGTTCCCCACTGGTTGTTATAGAAGATCTCCACTCTACCTGAGCACACCGAGTCACCGTTCACCAGTCTCAGGACTGGAGACTGGAGAGCTGAACCGTCAAACACAGCAATAGATACAGTCAGCAAGACAGAAACACATGGGAACCCTGAAGAATCTCTAGAATGTCTTTGAGGATCTGTGGGATCAACTTGAGGGACCTTCTTTAGGACTCTTGAAGGATCTCTAGAAACACTCAACTGATTTATGGAACCCCCTTGAAGGACCTCTAGAACCTCTCTAAGGACCTTTGGGTAGCCCTTAAGGCCCTGCGAAACCCTTCTGTGGACTTGTGGTAACCCCTTTAGAATGCCTGAATCAAGAAAACCAGTTCTCGATATTCAGCACATGTGGAACCCCTCAAAATGATCACAGAACCTCGTCGCTGCACCTGAAACCCCAGCATCTCAACGCTTCATGGTTACTCACCCTGACGTTCACACCTCCAGTTGATCTTGTCACTGCTCACACAGGTCTCACCTTCAGCACAGGTGTTACACACCGTGGTGTTGACATCTGCAGAGGAACAAAAAACAAAGTAGAATTTGATGGTACCAAACATCTAAATGATCCTTCAACACATATTCATCTGTTGGCTCAGAGGAATACGGGAGTGTTAGCAGTTGAGGCCTCTGGTTCATGGTCCCAGTATTTGGCTCTGTAAACTTCTATATAAGGAGGTCTTACCTGCACAGTAAGCCAGCCGACACAGAGTCGGGCTCACAAACTTGTAGACCTGGTAGTTTCCTGGACAGGCTTTCATGTGGATGGGGTGGGACTGAAACTGGCAGCAGCCTCCCTCCCAGCTGCCACAAACCCTCCCCTGTATGATGCCCTGTGCAGTTGTTGGGTGGGGGGTCTGGAGCCACAGCGGAGCATCAGTCCCACACATGTGACTCTCAATGCAACGCTCCGGCATCTGAACGCTGCTGTTACCAATGAATAGGCGATACCAGCCCTGCCAGTCGGTGAGGCTGTCACAGGCTACAGACTCTGGGTTGGCCTTGAAGTCCGTAGCTCTCCAGGCATCTTGTAATGGAGTGTAGTGCTGACACGGGTCAATGCAGCGAGCTGTGCCGTCCAACTGGAGGCAGTCCTGACCAAAAGGGCACTGAGTGTTGCCACAGGCGATCCTCACTGAGCGGGATTTGGGTTTGGCAGCAACATTTTGTTTTGGGACAGGGGTCACTAGGCAGGAGAAGGAGCCTGGGGTGTTTTCGCAGAGCTCACCTGGACCACATGGGGGGTGGGGCAGTGAGCACTCGTCGATGTCCACGCAGCCCTGGAGCAGTGACCAGCGGTAGCCTCGGCCACAGCACGCATTGTTACAGGTGGTTTTGTTGTAGCAGGTGAAGCCATCTCCCACCACACCGTCGCCACAGCGGCAGGACATGTCCACAGTCTGGACACTGTTGTCATGGAGGGAGGTGTGGCATCGAGCCAGTTGGTGACAGGCCTCACAGCTGGTGGCCACAGATCCTGAGAACATGTAAGGTTCATTCTCAGTTAGCTAAAAGCTAGCGTTAGCTAACGCCCAAGTGTCCTGGGGACAGTGAAACTAATATTTGATAAGATTGTGGTTGTTTAATGTATAAAGTCAATATCATTAAAGGAGCAATGTAAATTTAGCTATTGCTACATAGCTAACATTAGCATTAGCAGCTGTTTACTAACCAGTATAGAAGAAATCTTGTGAGTTCAACATCAAACTTCATTCCTTTACTCACCATCATCTGTCTCCAGAGGTGGAAACAACTGTTGTTTTGCTTCTATTTCTATCACTTAATTTATTGTGCTGAAGTTAGCATGCTCACCACCTAGCTCCAGCCCGTTCAGACTGTCCCCACACTTTCTGTCCCTGTACTGTCCAGTCTGTCCTGAAGAAGCAGCTGCTCAAAGGACGTGTTCTTACCTGTTGTCTTGTAAACACAACAATGCAAATAAACAGCTGCTAATGCTAATATTAGCAATGTAGCAATGGCAAAAGTTACATATAGCTCCTTTAGCTACACTGTAAAACTATCACTGTCACTTTACAGCAATGTAGATTCACATGTGTGTGGTGTGTTCACACAACCCCTCAGATATAACAGCTCTGACTCGGCTCGTGTGGACTCACCTGTGGACTCACCTATACTCTGAGCTGAGCAGGCAGTCAGGAGGAGCAGGTGGATGAACCAGTGAAACATTTTGAATCACAGCTGTTAGAGAGAGAAACGATGATGATGGTGGTGAACAGGTAAGCAGGTTTACCTGGTTATTTCAGATCACTGTACATTGGTCTTCACGTTGGTCTATTTCATTCTGACTGAAGTCATCACACAAGTATATCAGATGTGATTAATTATTGCTAATCATCTCATTAATGTAATAAACATGATAAATCTATCCATCTATGAGCTCATTAAGTGTCTTTGAAAGTATCAGCAAGCTCAAATTACATACATGCTTTTATTTCTTCTCCTTTAGATTATTGTAATGCTCTGTTTACCTGATGTCTTTGAACGTCTCCAAACTGTCAAAGTGCAGAAACTAGAAAGAACAACAGATCATAGATCAGTCAGTTTTATTTTCCCTCCACTGGCTCCCGATCAAGTTCCTCATCCATATCAAAATACCGCTGTGACCTTTAGAGCCTGACCCGTGTATTTCTGACCTCATCGTCCCTTATCCAGCCAATCAGGAGCTTAGATCTAGTCTACTATTGCTTGTTACTGACTTTTGTACTTTATTATTGATGAAAGTTACTGTAAATAAACTTTATCGTTAACATTTCCATCCTGTTACTGCTGTACATCACAATGGAAAATATATCCTGTATGTTAACTATATATCTTATATGTTATCAATATATCATATATGTGTTAAACAGTAGAACATATTGACAGTAATAAAGTTGAAATAATTCAGTTTTTTGATAATAATTTTCTTGTTGCTCCTCACACGAGTCATTACAATGTGTTTGTAGATATCAAACACTCTGTCATTATAAACCTAATAACATGGATTAATAATAATGTCCCTGAGCAGACGTACCTGTGTGGTGTCCTCAGTCCTCAGTGCAGTCCTCTTACTGTCTCCAGACTTCAGTCTCAGCTCCTCAGTGCTGATGACTCACCTCAGGTTAATGACTGTTTGATCTAATCATCAGTTCACTGTTGTTATAAAACCATAAATTACATTTCTGTTGAGATTCTGAGTTTCACTTCTGGTTTTGGAGATTTCTCTCTCTCCATCTTGCCTCCTGAGAAGCTTCAAACTACACCTGTCCAACAGGTGTAGTTTGAAGTTTGCTGTTTAAGTTGTTGAACTCCTGAGGTTCTACAGACACGAAGTTTCCAGCAGTTTGATCTTCTTACAATCTTCTCTGATGAGAGCAGCAGGTTTTAATGGGAACAAAAGTTAAGACTTAAAGTCATTATAGCTTTCCTTCTGTTGAGTCATTATTCAGAAAATAGATATTTTTAACAGATATAAAAATTTTAATTGTGAGCAGCAGCAGCATCTGACTGATATTCAGGACATAAAAATCATTAAACTATTAAACAAAGAACAGACAAAATATTGTCGTCATCAACATCATCATCATCGTCAGTCAGAAACGAGCTGTAGACAGCTTCACTCTGCTGCAGTGAGACTCTGGTTTATTTTTTCTTCTCCTTTTCTAAACTGCCCAGATGTTTCATGTATCCAATCATTGTGCACCATAAGGACATGTCAATGCTTAATAAACTAGAACCACCTCCTCCTCCAGGTTACATCCCTGTTTATCCAGACTCATATACAATATTAGACATCTGTGTGAAATTTTGTCATAATTTCTGTGTGAAGTCTTGAGAAATGGCTGTTTTGTGAGATCACACTGACGTTGAACTTTGAGCTTTGACCATCTAAATCTAATCAGTTCATCCTTGAGTCCAGGTGAATGTTTGTGCCAAATATGAAGAAGTACCTTCAAGGTGTTACTGAGATATCGTGTCCACGAAAATGAGACGGACAGACGACCTGAAAACAAAATGGCTGCCACTCTGTTGCCAACGCAGAGGAATAAAAAAATGATAGTGTGTCTGACAAGACAATGAGAAACTTATAACACACAAATAAATATGCAAAATCCATTTTAAACATAAAGTGATGGCATTTAATGAGATGGAGAAACATACAGTTAAGAAGACTGAATATTTGAGTTAGTGTGATCTTTAAAACATCATGTGGAGAATAACTAGAGCTTCAACAGAGTTCAGGGTTGAGTCAGTGAGTTCAGCAGCTTCATCAGAAATAGACAGAAACAAACAGAAAATACAAAATCTACTTTATAAAAAGAGGATTTCAGAAGCATGTACAGTCCAGCTCTGCTACAGGATACATGACAGACCTTCTACTGGAGGAGGAGCTTCAGCCCATCAGGCCAGATCCACCAATCAGCACGCTGCTGCCGGGTCACACGGGCATCTGCAGCTGTGAGTACTCATCCTGCCCCTCCTTCTCCTCCAGGTGAGGCTCCGCATCATCAGCATCCAGCTGCAGACAACAGGTCAGAGGTCAACGTCACGGTAACAGTCATCTCAGGTGGACTACATGATAAACCACCTCAACTGTTCACACATTCAGTACATGTTTATTACATGTCAAACACACAAATGACCTGACAGCACTTCCAGGTTTAAAGCTAAAGGAGAAATTAAAACTTGGAAATGTATCTGCTGCAGGTGCTGCTTATTTTTTCATGTCCAGTTGTGTATTGCTGTCAAATGCTGCATTCACGTCGTATCATTGAATGCGGAGTGGCTGAGTGGTAAAAACAGTTCTGATGGTGAATCTCTCTGAACCCGACCACAGACATCAGCAGAGGCACCAAAATGAAATCCAACATTACTGTGTGTTTGGATCTGGTTTCACTTGATGACAAACATGAAACACAACAGAAGAAGCTAATTATCTGCTGTAACTACAGTGTTTGCATTAGCATAACATTCAAAGACAGAATAACAATTGTTTTTACTGTTCCCCCCATTCTGCTTACATTACATGAGTGCACCATAAACTGCTGTATAGCTAAAATGTCTGATGTCATGTTAGCTGTATGTAACAGGTAGCATGTAACTACAATCACTACTTAACTTTAAGGTACAGGTACAAATACAAAGTTCAAATACAAATGTACTAAAAGTTAAAAGTGTTCATTATATGGCATTAGTGGGCAATATTTTTTTCCAGTGGGCCATACTGACTCCGTTAAAGTAAGTGAAGGGCCACACAATTGGAAATAAAATTTAAACATGAAATATTTACTGCAGAATTACTTTAAACTACCGGTACATAGATTTGGTGGGCTTGATTGTGTTATTCACTAGCCCTTTTTAAACAAATACATGATCATACTCATGAATATTACAATTAACATCTCAATTAACTACTATGATTCAGTGAGACTGCGCATCAATCACTTCCACACGCCTGGTAACGGCCCGACGAGACAGACTGACTTTTTCAAACTGACTTTTATTGTCAGGGCACAGTCTCAACCATACGGTCTTTCAAAAACTCACCCTCTGAGAACGACCTGCTGTGTTTGGCTAGCTTAAGAGCCGGCATGTAGCTTACTTTCGTGACTGTCTCTTGTATGGCCGTCTGCTTCACAAAAATATTCTGACGGGCGGTTAAATCGGAGGACAATTTCAGGGCCCTTTGTTCTCTCTCCCGCGACGATAGGTTGGTGGCATAGTTGGCATGCTTGGTCGAAAAATGTCTCTTAATATTATATTCTTTGAAAACAGAAATTGCATTTTGGCATATCAGGCATACAGCCTTTGAACCCACATGAGTAACAAAATATTTATAAGTCCACTCGGTGTTAAAAACACGACATTCTGAATCAACTTTTCCCTTTTTCACAGCACTCATCCTGATGATCATCGAACTGTCTATGCAAGAGTCAAGGAAGTGCATTTTCACCCACTCCAAATTAAAATAGCCCTCTGTTGCAATCAGATCGTATAGCAGTTCAAACTCATGCCTCTATAATGCGGGATTTTTTTTTTCTTTTCTTTTCTCCTCTGTGGATGTCGCGGGCCGGACTGAGACGGCCCACGGGCCGGGTCTGGCCCGCGGGCCGTAAAATGCCCACGTGTATTATATGGTATATTTCCTGTCAAACTGATAAAATAACGTTTTACTGGAGCTGATTTTAAATACTTTATAAGCTGAGTATTTGAATATAGATTAATGAATGTTTCATATACTGATCATATATTTTGTTTGTAAACTTTCTGTTAGATGTGTGTGTAGAATCAAGTTTTCCTTCTGAACTGAAGTGAAGTTAAAGAAAAGACAGAAGTGAAGTACAAGTACCTTCAAACTGTACTTCAATTACATAAAATGACTTAAATGTCCATCACTGTGTGGGACATAAAAATGCTAGCATAATAGCTATCATATATTACCTTATACTAGCTCTTTAGCCAGTGTTATGCTAGTTGTAAATACAAAGCATATCTGGCATTAAACTGGCTAACTACAAATGGCCAGCATAATGTGAGGTACTAAAGCAGCCTGTAACTAGCATGCTAGTAGATATGCTAGACACCAGATATACTATGGGTATGTAGTCACTAAAACATGCTAACTATAAACAGCTAGCATAAATCTAGCACACTACTGGCCAGTACGAACACCTGTCATCATGTAAGATATACCTGCTAGCAACAGGTAGAATAACAAACAGACTGTCACATGTATTTAACTGTGTTTTAATGACACAGTTCAGTTCAGCTGTCACATCCACATGAGGTCTTCAGACAGGTACCAGGTAAATGTTAACAGGTAAAGTGGATTTGTGACCTTGCTGCAGATATGACAGCAGGATTATGTCAGGTAGGAAAGGTGTGACTCACACTCTGCAGCTCTCTGCGAGTAAAGAGGCGGGGAAGCAGCAGCATCCTCACAGGTATGGTCAGCAGCAACATGAAGGGGAAAGCCAGTGCTGCCGCTGTCGCCATGACAACCCACAGGAGAGACAGACAGGTCAGCTGGACGAGAGTGAACAGGTGCATCCTTAACGTCCTCACCTGTGAGCCAGCAGAAACACAGGAGAGACAGGTGTGCATCAAAATTACATTGACATTTGAACCGTCTTTGTCAAGTCACATCAACCGGCTGAAAGTCAAGTTTCTCTCTCTCAAGGGGCATAGTGGTCTAAGCAGGCGCCCCATGTGTAGAGGCTACAGTCCTCGCTGCAGTCAGCCCCGGTTCAAATCCCACATCGGACGGCCCTTTACTGCATGTCATTCCCCCTCTCTCTGCATCCCCATTTCCTGTCTCTCTATACTATCCTGTCCAATAAAGGCACAAAAGCCCCAAAAATATACTTAAAAAAAAAAAAAGTTTCTCTCTCTGTCTCTCTCTCTGATGAGAGTGTGTTTGAGGTCTGAATAAAGTTGATGTCAGAATGTTCTGAAGATCTGCAGCTTGTGAAAAATGGATCCAATATTTATTTCAGTGACTATGAGTCTGAAGAATCATAATGACACAGTTACAGGAAATAATTGTAAGTGTGTCGTCTCCTTTCTCAACTGTCTCTGATTCCACACCTCTGATAGTGAGTCAGGGGGCGTGGTCAGGTCAGTGGGTGTGGCTAACCTTGCGGACATAGGCTTGATCAGGGTGGTACTTCGGGGGCATCAGCAGCAGAATGAGCCTCTCGGTGAGCTGGATCCCGTTCAGAGACATCACACCCATGTAGAGAAAGATCCCAAAAAGCACGGCCAGAGGGATCTGACGCAGAACCTCCCCGATCACAATCGATAGACCTGGGACCAGAGACCAGAGACCAGAGACCAGGGACCAGAGACCAGAGACCAGAGACCAAAGACCAGGGACCAGATCAGAAGCAGTACAGATAATTGTAGTAAAAGTAGTAGCAGAAGGACTCACACAGTCGTACCCACTAAAACTGCCACGAGGAAGCCCGTCACCCTCTGCTCCTTCACCTCCTGGATGCGGGGCTTGTCTCCAGGGGCAACAGCTTTGCTCATGACAGTGAGCGCGTTGGTGTGGGTGACGGACCGAACTGTGGCGGCCGAGAGCCAAGGCAAACCAAACAGAGCTGAGATCCCACCCACCACCACAATGATGAGGAGGTCCAGGTGAAAACCAGTTCCCTTCACCAGCATCCTCTCCTTCTTACTGACAATCAGCCTGACAGACAGACACAGGGAAAATTAGATTCATATTTAATATTGTCTTTAGGTTATTTTAGGTTACCTCCCCCACAAAAAGACAGGGTTGTACGCTGTGATCTGGGACTCCATGAATATGAGGATGAAGACGAGGATGGCCGGCAGGATGCTAGCACCCATCATCCAAATAGGAAACTGCCCGTCTGACCCCAGGGGAGAAATTAGCCACCCACGCTTCTCTGGACTGGAAACTGAGAATCCACTGGGCACGTTCAGTTTCTGTCAGCCAATAGAAAGAGGTTCATTCACTGTGTGTTTTACTTTTAACCACAGCGTCAAATGATCCAGTCTGACCTGGGTGTAGGTGTCCTCCACGCTCCAGTCCACCAAAACCATGAGCAGGATTGCAATGGGGACCCCGAAGTCTCCGATGATCCTACGGAGCTGATGTCAGAAAGGTGAGACATTACACCCAGCACTAACACAAAAACCTGAAGACTCTCTGATGGAGTGACTCGTCTCTGCTACTGAAGCAACAACAAAAGTGTTCTGTCTTTGTTGAAAAGTTTTACTTACTGCACTTGTAACTGTGCCTGTACGAGTATCTGAATGTACCTGTTACATACCTGTTCCTGTATCTGCATGTGTGTCTCTGTACTGAAATTAATATTTATAATGATTGTACGTGTATGCCTGCTACTGGTCAACCTCTACCTCTATACACCTGCACATGTGTCTTCATTTGAAAGTAAATACAGTACCTGTACTTGTACTGTACCTGTACCTGTACCTGTACCTGTATCTGTATCTGTATCTGTACTGTACCTGTACCTGTACTGGGATGTACTGACCCTGCCAGGGAAGAAGGAGCTGTTCTTGAATTTGCGCAGGTAGAAAGCAATGAAATATGTTCCCGCCATGAGCACTAATGACAGCAGAGCAGTGTTGGGTTCGCCGACAACCTTCCCAGGATCTCCAGTGACCACGGTGTAGTTGCAGAGAGACAGAGATACTGTGCTGTTTCTATGGTAACAGTTTTGGAGAGGATGTTCCTGGAAGATCTAGAAAAGACCAACACAGAGAAGAAGCTCAATGTGGCTCTGTGATGGTTGACAGGAAGCACAAGGCTCTTCATAATGTTTGATTCAATTGTCCACCAAACAGACCACCATGTGATTGGTTGATACTTCATGACAAGCTATGACTTCAACACTACAGCATACAATAACTCCTTTTTAATGCAGCTGTCAGCTCTGACCTCACCTTGACCAGCTTGGCGAAGGTCTCGTAGATGAAAATGAGGGAAATGAGGAAGGAGAAAATCTCCTGAGTGAAGCGGGAGACGAAGCGAACCAGGATGCTTCCCTCAAAGGCCACAGTGAGGAGAACAATGAGCACTAGCCAGAAACCGATCCACACCCGTCCTGTCAGGTACTCGATCTCATTGTCTTTACAAAACTACACAGAAACACAGACCAGGTAAGATAGCCTTGCTTTAGAGGAGCTTTCTTTACCACCTGTCAGCACTCCACAGACAGCAGGTAAAGAGTTAAGGTAGTCTAGATAGGATCAGATTTAGGTGCAAATGGTCATCTCCATCTCAGCCTGAATTTAACTAAACAGGGTTAGGGGAATCAAACACTTCACCTTCAACTCAAAAGTTAATTCCTTGTTGATAGTGACACCTAGATATCAGAGGGGAGATTAACAGAACAGACTTTTCACCACGTTAGGTTTAGTTTTCCTCATACTTAGAGATAAGAGTGGTGAACAGAAAATGTCAGAAAATGGAGAGAGAAGTTTCTGTCAGGTGAGCTCACAGTGTAGAAGGCCTCTTCAAACACCAGCAGCGGTCCAGAGAAGCCAATCACCAGCAGAGGCTGAGCACCCAACACACTGAATACTATGCCCTGCATCGCCGTGGCAACAATCAGCTCCGACACACCAATCAGACCTTCTGTTTTCTCACCTGTGTCAAGGGACAGAGATCATAGCAACAACACCTATTTACCAGAAACATCTTCAGACATCCAGGAAGCCTTTGCTTCAAGCAACTTGAAATCAGTTCAACCAACCTCATTGAGAAGTTCAGTGTCTGAGGTCCAGACTTACCCAGCAGTCCCCCAAAGGTGATCGCAGGTGACAGTGCAGCAAAGTAGATGAAGATGATGGCAGCCATGCACTGGGGGTTCAGGGCATCTCGGATGTCACTGAGGTACTGAGGGTAGCGCCGAATCACGTCTTTGATCAGTCCTCCGAACAGATGACCTGAACGCCTCAGGGGCTCGTCACCAGGTTTGGAGGGAACCAGGGAATCTGTGAGATAACATCACCAATCTTGAACTGTCATTGAGCTTATGTCCGAATATTACACATGAAATCAAAATATCATAAGCAGCATTGTACAGCCGTCTCCTGTTCACATTTTCACGTAATATAAAAGAAACATTTACCCTTGTGCTGATGACATGCTAATCTACCATGCTAAGAAGATTTGTAAGATGGTTGCCTCAATCTGCCAAAAACAAATCATTCAGCCCTTATTCTACTTTTCTGCTGACCTTCATAGTTTGACAGAAGAGCATCAAGGAGAACCTAAAACTCATGTTTAAATCTAGATTCAGACAAATTCTTCAAGATTAACATCAATCTCACCTCCATCCCCAAAAGAAGTTAAAATATTAACTAAGAGATTGTGATAGGGACGTTGGATGACATACTTGACACACCTACTTGAGAGTACTAGAACTGATAGAAGGGCACATCACTAATTTGTTACCACAAGCCTTTAAGATGGCACAATTTTACAGTTACTGAATTCAGACTTTAAGGTGGTTTTGAAGGGTTAAAAGGGGAAGGCTGAAAGTCCTTTACAATGTCTCTGATATGTCAGGAAACAACAACGACGTCCCAATGACTAGAAATAGAACATGTTCATTGACCATACAACAGAACCTGGTAACCGACCCTCATCCTGCTGAATTCTGGTCTGTTTCTCTTGCAGTTTGCCACTCTGCTCCTCCTCCCTCTTTCGGAGCATTTCTCGTTGGAAGCGAGCCACCGAGTGCAGCAGCTCGTCCCCACCGACCTCGGAGGGCGGGAGCACCACACTGCAGTCCAGGAAACGATTGATGGCTGTCAGCAGGTCCTGGCGGTCGTCAGCCTGGTACGCCGCCTCATGAAAGTGCTGAGGAATCAGACAAAGGTAGAAGTTATTATACAATATTTACCTCATTATGTGGCTGTAGAGCATCATTATGTCGTTCCATGTGGCAGTCATATTGAAGAAAACAACAGACAGCGTGAAGTCTGTGGGGATTCACCTTGTCTGACATGAGTGTGGAGATGGAACGTCCGATCTGGTGGTAATCGATGTTGATGGTGGGGGGGCCAAGCAGGAGGAAGAGGAATCTCACGGGCACGGGGACCTCCAGGACAGACTCCAGCAGGACCGCTTCTTGCAGTCGCACAAATGCCATGGAGGGCTGGTCCAAGAAGCCCACACTGCCTGCAGACACAGCAGAGGGCTGCAGTGAGCCTTCCACCTGCAGACTGACACATGACTGGAGGAGATGATGCGCGTGACGCGGACATACCTACGAGAACGACAGTGGCCTCAGCTCTCTCCGGGATTTTCTCCATCAGCTTCACTTCATGTTTGGATCTGGAGTGACAGAGGTTCGGCGCTTCTCTCTGGTCACAGTACAGAATGACATCATACACACTAACAAACTGAAAGGTCTGTCATACTCTGACGCCGCTGCTATGCTGATGATACCCAGTTGTTCCTTGAAGCATATCTCTGGCTGATATGAGAGTAGATGTCAAGGCGTCACCTGAAGATCAACCTGGACAAGACTTTAAACAACGATCCAAACAAAGCTGTCCACAGTTACCACCTTATATCATATCCACTGTCATATATGAACACATAGGAAGCACATTTATGAAGACAAGTATGGAAAGAGTTGATGAGAATAAATGTTTGTGTTGTAGACCACAAACTAGGGTCGAAGTCCATTGTGATATAACACAGAACTAAAGAACCAAATCCATTACATAAACAGTCCCATCTTTAATAGTGCCATACATTACTACTGTATGGAGGTTTGAGGAAACATACAAAACAATCTTAAATCAAAGTTTTATACAACAGAACAACAGAAAAGAGCCTGTAGAATTATAAACAGAGTTCATTTTTATTTATTATTTATGAACGTTTGAATTTGAGTCATGCAAGTTGAAAATTATCAAAATAAACTGTTTTTATTGGTTTCAGACAGGTAACTGGTAGGAATTTACCTTGTTATTCTCTGCGTCAGCCTCTCTGTGATTGGTCAGGTGGTTGGATGGTTCTGATTGGCCAATGTGTCTGTCCATCAGGGTGGCCATGTTGGCAGCAGAGATGTTCCTGCTGAACAAGCTGTGATCTTTCTCATCACTGGGATGACTGATGAGACAAAGAGAAGAATACTGTGTGATTATGAATGAATGAATGAACAGATGAATAAACAGATGGATGAACAGATGAATGAATGGACAGACAGATGAATGAACAGATGATGAATGGATGAATGAACAGATGGATGAACAGATGAATGACTGGACAGACAGATGAATGAACAGATGAATGAATGGATGAATGAACAGATGGATGAACACAAGGATGAACAGATGAATGAACAGATGAATGAATGGATTAATGAACAAATAGATGAACAGATGAATGAACATATGAATGACTGGACAGACAGATGGATGAACAGATGGATGAACAGATGAATGAATGGACAGACAGACGAATGAACGGATGAATGAACAGATGGATGAAATGATGGATGAACAGATGAATGAACAGATGGATGAACAGATGGATGAACAGATGAATGAACAGATGGATGAACAGATGAATGACTGGACAGACAGATGGATGAACAGATGAATGACGGGACAGACAGATGGATGAACAGATGGATTAACATATGAATGAACAGATGGATGAACAGGTGAATGAACGGATGAATGAACAGATGAATGAACAGATGGATGAACAGATGAATGACCGGACAGACGGATGAACAGATGGATAAACATATGAATGAACAGATGGATGAACAGATGAATGAACAGATGAATGAATGGATGAATGAACAGATGGATGACCAGATGAATGAATGGATGAATGATCAGATGGATGACCAGATGAATGAACAGATGGATGAACAGATGGATGAACAGATGAATGACTGGACAGACAGATAAATAAACAGATGGGATGAACAGTGAATGGATGAATGATCAGATGGATGACCAGATGAATGAACAGATGGATGAACAGATGGATGAACAGATGAATGAACGGATGAATGACTGGACAGACAGATGAATGAACAGATGGATGAACAGATGAATGAATGGATGAATGAACGGATGAATGAACAGATGGATCAACAGATGAATGAACAGATGAATGAACGGATGAATGAATGGATGAATGAACAGATGGATGACCAGATGAATGAATGGATGAATGACTGGACAGACAGATGAATGAACAGACGGATGAACAGATGGATGAACAGATGGATGAACAGATGAATGAACATATGAATGACTGGACAGACAGATAAATAAACAGATGAACAGATGAATGAATGGATGAATGACTGGACAGACAGATGAATAAACAGACGGATGAACAGATGAATGAATGGATGAATAAACGGATGAATGAACAGATGGATGAACAGATGGATGAACAGATGGATGAACAGATGAATGACTGGACAGACAGATGAATGAACAGACAGATGAACAGATGGATGAACAGATGTATGAACAGATGGATGACCAGATGAATGAACAGACGGATGAACAGATGAATGAATGGATGAATAAACAGATGAATGAACAGATGGATCAACGGATGAATGAACAGATGGATCAACAGATGAATGAACAGACGGATGAACAGATGGATGACTGCCCACGAACCTATGTCGGAGCAGCAGAGCTCTCAGGACATTGGCCCGGTCTTCAGCTTTGATCTGGTCTGAGATCACCATCTGCTCCACCACTTGCTGGGCGATCCCGGGCAGAGTCCTCTGCTTCAGGTCCAGGAGCACCGCCCCTGGGAACACAACAACATGACATCACACACTGACATCATAACACTACTCACCTGCACTTGTGTTCAGCCAGAAAGTGAAGCAGGTTTTATTTTTGTTATACAAACAGTCAATGAACCAACAGAGACTGAAAACACGCCCACAGGTGGTCTGTCAGCAGGTTGTTGTGACATAATAGTTAGGTTTTGTTGCTAGGTGACATCTAGTGGTTGTAGTAATGATGACAGGAGGAAAGGGAAAAGTGCGGTGACTTAGAATGAAGAGAGACAAAGTCCATGTCAGGAGGAGGTGGTGGTGGATGGATGAACGTGACACAGGAGAGCAGTGTTCGATTCCTGTGTTGTTTCTATCATCCATGACCGTTTGTTGTTGTTATGTAACCATGACAACAAAGCTCGTATTTATTTCAACCCAAACCACCATCTTATCCTGAATCTAACCAAGCTGTAACAGTTATCCTCTCTGTACATTTATAAAACAGGAGCAGAGTTTTAAACAGTTTGACTCATGCTGACGTGAGTCTGCTTCAGTCTGAGGTCACTGTCATCTAACTGTGTGTAAATCATAGTGAGGCTGAAGTCAGGTTTGATCCTGGATTATCTGGAACTGAACCAGCTGCTCTCCTCACCCTGACTGCTGTGTCCTAAGCAGGTGTGAGCTATGGTTTGTATGAGTCAGCCCAGTGCAGCTGGAGGTCGCACACTTTGTGTGATTCTGGTAATTAATTTAAAATGACTCAAACTCATTATTAATGTAACGTGAGTCCTACAGACAGTTAAGCTTCAGAGTCACAGTCTGACATGTTGAACTCCTTCATGTAGAATATGATGGTGTGCAGTGTTTGTCCAGAGCAGAGCAGCAGAGAGCCTCCTCCTCCTCACCGTGGGAGATGGTTTTTCGGAGCTCCAGCAGGGAGCGGAAGGAGAGGGAGGGGATGTGAGGTCTCCCCCAGCGCTCCGTCTCCTCCTCCACCTCCTCCTCAAACTTGATCCATCGAGCTGTCTCCCTCCACTGCAGCTCCTGGTTCCTGTCGATCACTAGCTCATTCAGCTCCACGAACACCTGAACACAGAAACACAGGTGTCACTGATGAGGATTTCTCTAGAGCACAGGCTCCAACCTTTTCACATCCGACCCCGTAACGATACAGAGGTCAAATAAAGTGTTCAGAGCAGTTTTCATTCTAATGATAACGATCAAACATCCAGATCTGAACTGAAAATAAGGAAGATCACTTAGATTCATCATCGCTCTCTTCCCGTTGTCAACCAGCTCTCCATTTTAACTCTCCAGTGTTTAACATGGATGTAACAATCAGACTGAGACAGAAACAAGTGCACAATGTGTGTACAACATTGAGGTTCCTATCATTGGCTTATCCCAGTGATCGGCCTTAATGTAAATATATATATATAATAACATCTTTTCACCACAATTGTTCTGTTTTGCAATTGATTTGTCGGCCCACTTGAAATACATTTGTGGCCCACCAGTGGGCCCCGGCCCATAGTTTGGGAACCACTGCTGTAGAGATTTACTGCCCCCTTTACAGACCTTCAGTAAGACCACCTAAGAAAAGGCTTTAACTAGCCTAAACTAGCTAAGTCACATCAGGCTAACCGCTATCAGGCTAAGTTCAGGTGAAAAACTGTTAAACAGCAGGTTTGGTTCAGACAAGAACGTGATCTGAAAACTGACTCACTCAATCTCCATTTTTAATTTCTCGTCCATGTTGGCTTGAAAACTGAATCTACAGTTTCATGACAACTGCAGATGAAGCTCATGTGACATGATTGAAAGCTCCAGAACAGCTGCTCCTGGATCTGGCTTTGAGCCTGAACTTCAGTCTGGTTGTTCAGAAGGACGAGAACTGAGTCCAGACTAGTCCACTCCAACCCGTCTGAACAGCACTGGTTTGAGTCTTTTTAAAGGTCCACTTACTTGTTTTTCCTGAACTTTCAGCCACATCCTGTGATCTTCATCGATGGGGGAATATATATGGATGGATGAAGAGATGGATAAAAGCTCCAAAAGAGCGAGTAAGAGGATTTTGTGAATCCACAAGTTCAAACCAGAACCAAACAAAACCAGGTCCAGATCAGGATACACTGAACTAGACAACTTAATCCAAAGTAAGACAAAGTTCTCCTTATCTAGTGGATAAACCAGTTTAACTAAGAATGAACCAGACTAACCAAAACTAACCGGGACTAACCTGGGATAAATCTGTAAATCTGTACCTTGCTCTGTCGACTCTTCAGGTCCAAACCCACCATCCTGAAGACCAGAGGAAACTGAACCCACAGAGACTCCGAGTCTGCCTGACTTCGCCTGTCTGTGTCTGCTGTCTGTGTTTACCTGTCTACCTGTGTGGCTCTACCTGTGTGGTTCTCTCATTAAGACAGAGTCCAGTTTGTCACCTTTTGATAATACCACCTGGATTAACAAGCTCACACTCCCGGCTCGTCTTTCCTCCTCCTGTCACATTCCTCTGGTTGTTTTGTTGTCCAGTTAAAACCTTGTCACACAGACTCTGTGGGAACCAGCAGCTGATGAACCTGCTCACCTGAACAAAACCTGAACCGTCTGTCAGCTTTGAAATACAACGTCCAACACTTCTATAAGACCTGTTGTCCTCTGTCCTTCAGGTGTTTCAGGTGGAGCAGTCACCTCTGAGTCCGTAGAGAGAGACAGGAGGTCCAGGACCTGGTGAGGCTAGCTTAGCATACCAGACTGGAAACAGAGGCTAACTGTTTAACTGTTAGCCTAGCTTCATCAGCAGAGGAACATCCTTCATTAAAAACATTCAATTTTAAATCTCATCATCATTAATAATAGCCCCCCCCCCCCGACCTCATGAGGTGTACGGTCTGGTTGGAGGTGTTGGAGGTGTTGGAGCTGAGACTGAGTTTGGCTGCTGCTCTGATCTTTGCTGACGTGGATGATTGGTCCTCTGGAGCTCCGCCTCACCAGGTGACGCCTCACGGCTGGGACGTCGTCCAGTCGGTGACCTGAGGGGAGGGGGCAGGGTCAGAGGGCAGGGGTCAGAAGTTAAAACCCAGCTCTCACCAACGACACATTTCTTTATTGCTTTGCTTTCCGGCTTTGGCTCTGTCATTCATTTTGTCCTTCCTTCCCTCCACCCTTATGTCTTTCCTTCCTCTCTTCCTTCCTTCCTTCTTCCTTCCTCCTTCCTTCCTTCCTCCTTCCTTCTCTCTGGTCTCATGGGAACTTTCTAACTGTGTTTCAGGCTCGATTGAAACTCTGTGAAGAATCAGTAAGACGAGACATGAACTGATTCATCCTTCCTCCTTAAACACACACACACACACACACACACACACTTGTACACACACACACATGCGCGCGCACACACACACACACACACACACACACACACGCACACACTCTAACAGGAGAAAAGACAATTAGGTTTTCTGTGAAATGGGATGTTTTCACATCATTTCTTATTTTCCTGGAAAAGCATTGACACAACCAGCCAATCACAGTTCAGCAGTGAGGGTCAGCTGACTGGCGCCCCCTACTTGTGGTCAGTCAGAAAACCCAGGTATGTTTGAAGACCTAAACACTCTTTTACCTTGTCAGGAGTTCTTAAATGAGCCCACATCTATCCCTCATTAAAACATCATCATGCATGAAGAAGACACTGTTGACAGAAGACGTCTCTTCACTCACACCTGTCTGATCTACCTGTTGGACCAGGACTCACGCTCACAAATAAACGCCTCAAACTCAGATCTGGCCTGAGCAAAGAGAAACCTCAGTCACAGCTCAGGTGTGTTCAGAGTCAAGCAGGTGAGTACTCACTGAGGTCGGCCTTCAGTCTGTCAAACAACCAGCTGTTGAAATGTCTGATCACATCCACAGCAGAGACCGACTTCATGTTCATCTGAGAGTCCTCCAGGACCAGGACCAGGACCAGAACCAGGACCAGGACCAGGAGCAGACACATACACAGTGACAATAGACAGAGGCTGTGGGCTGTGTGTGTGGGACAACTGCATTGTGTTCAGGTCACATGATCAAGATCAACAAGTGACAGAAAACTCTTTCATGATGAAAAACATTCCTTCAGTGTGTCGCATTCATGCCCCAGTGCATGCTGGGAGAGGCTCCCGTCTACCGTCCACAGTAACACAGTCTGTAGTTTATCTGCTCATGATCAGAAACCATGACAACCCAGACCTGAGACCAGGAGGCGGAGCTACAGTCTCACTCTTATCTCAGAGTTGTAACATGACATATGTCTGACCCCACCCACCTACATGTATTAAATCAGGTGTTACTAGAAGAAGCTACAACATAAAACATCAGTGACTTGACCTTTAGAGCACCCCCCTCCACACCCTCAGGTGTTTATCAAACTCAAGGCTTCATCAACACAGATGCATTTTGGAGAATGAACTACTTTTGTTAACAGCTCCTAATCCGTTATTATTTAATTTGTATTTGTTTATTTCTTAGTGTTTCTTTTATTATTACTGTCAGATGTTAATCATGCGTTTTCACCGGCACAGACGGTCTTTCATCAACAAATCGCTGTGGGGGAGCTCATGTCAGCCATAGCAATGGAGTCACACTCTTAGCTGTTCACCTTATACCTGCTTCCTTTAGGTCATATAATCAGGAAACACTCCATGAACGTCTGTCATTATGCAGATGATACCAACTGTACCTGTCAATGAAAGCAGCTTTCTTCTGTTACACTCAGACATGACCCCAAACACCTCAGAAACACATGATCCAATGATCCAGTTACTGTGGAGGTTTGTGTCCTGACCTCCAGCGCCACTGAGGAACCTCTGTGTCACCGCCAATCAGGATTCGTCCTGTAACTCTGACTCACTTTTCTGGTCTCATCGACCGCTCAACACTTCACAATACAAGCCACATTCATACATTCACACACTGATGGAACAGACCTCAGGGGCAAAGTAGGGGTCAAGGACACTCGAACTACCGACCTTCTGATTAGTGGACAACCTGCTGTAACTCCTTATTGTCAGGCTGAACCAACACATCTGTAAAGGTCCAGCTGATCTCACAGTACACATCATGCCTCTCCTGTCAGACACCGTCATATCTTAAAGAGTTCCCTTTTAGAACCACTAGAACACTGAGGTTCCTCTGTAAAGGTCACTGTGGGGTTTATAGTGGGTGACTGCTGAAACTGAAGTAGTGGCTGCTGTTAGCATAATGCTAAGCTATGCTATAATCTCTACATCACAGTGATATAAAGTAGAGTCACCCCCTCCCTGGCAGCATCGCGTGGTGAGTTCAGTGTTGCTCACATTTCAGAAACTTTAGTAAAATGTCCTTTTATTTTAACTATGTTTGTCTGTGTTTGTGTTTCAGCTGCTACGATAAACAGGTAAACATCCAGCTGTGTGTAGAGTGTAGAACTGCTAAATGTTCAAACCTAAGGTAGGTCACACAACCTGAAGTACCTGTCACTGAGGAAGTTATGACCATTTCACTAACACTGATCTAAAGACACAGTAAAATATAAACATGAACGTCAAGTGTAAATGATGTATAGAGCAAGTGTTAAAGTAGGTGCAGCAGGTACTGACTCTTGATGCCGTCCAGGTCGACAGACGTCAGTGTCTCGGCCTCGTCGGCCTCATCAGGACCAATGCTTATCATGAGGCAGCCAGGTGAGAGGCCATTGTGAATGGTCGAGCTGGTGAGCGGGTCGCTGTGAGGGGGAGGGGTTACAAGTTAACTGGACTAAAAATATATCAGGTCCCAACAGGAATCAGGTCAGGTGTTATTCACCTGGAGTGTGAAGTCGTCTGGCCCTCATCTCCATCGGTCTGAGTGAAGGATTCCTCCTCGCCGTCATCCTCCTGGTCTTCTTCTATGGTGGCTGCAGTGCTGGGGGCGGAGCCTCTCCTCACGTCCTTCCTCCCCTCGCCACTCCTCTTCCTCCTGCTATCAGCAGGAGGTTTGGACAGAGGATGGTGGACGTGGAGAGAAGAGTGACGATGATCTGCAGCAGAGAAACATCAACATTACAGATGTTTACAGATGTTACAACCTGGTACAAACACCAGGTCCTGTTCCACCTTGACCCTGTGACCTCCATAAAAACCCCCAGGTGCTCCTCACAGACCGGTAGAACCTCCTCATAGAACCTGGAACCTCCTTGAGGATCTATGACAGCTCCTCACACACCACTTAAACCTCCTCAAGGAGTCACTGGATTTGATCATGGAGATTCCCTGATCCCCCCTAGAACCTACTCAAGGTCCCTGAGAACCCAACTAAAGATCTGTGGTATCTGCTGGAACCGAGGGAATTTGGCATCTGAACAAAACAGGAAAAACAGTTGAGTGCTTCAGGATCAAACCATCTGAGTCCATTAAAGCAGGAAGAACCGAACTGTCTGAAAGACACCTGGAACCTCTTCAGTATTCCTTCAACATGGAACCTTTAAATATCACTGGGAATCCTTTACCCTCCTCCTCAGACCTTATCAATGACTGCTAGTTCCCTTACCATGATCGCTGAAGTGCCTAAAAGGAACCTGCATAGATTCTTGACAAAGTAGATCCTGTTCAAGAACCCCTGAACTGTCTTAACAAAGTACTTAGAACCTTTTCAGAATCTCCTAGATCAGTGTAACAGACCTCTTGAACTCACGAAATGACTAAGAGCAGGAACAACAGGAACCTTCTTAGGAACCTCTAGAACATCCTTCAGTGTGCAACCAGAAAAATATGTTGAACATCCTCCAGGACCCAAGAACCTCCTCAGAGTCTAGAATCCACTTGAACACTCTGGAACCAGTACTGAACTCAAATACCCTTAGAATTGCCTCAAAGTTCCCTTGAACCTCTTCAAAGAGTGTGGAACCTCCTAACCCTCCCTTCTGGGTTGTTTTTAATTGTTTAAATGTTCTAAAAGGACCACAGAACATTCTCAGATCCCCGAACCTCTTAATGGACCCCTAGAACTTTGAAGAAGACTATGGAAAGTCCTCAAAATGATGAAACCTTTACAAACACTCAAGAATTCCCTCAACCCTCTTGTGAATCCCTAGAACCTCCTGAAACAACCTGGAACCACAGGAGTGTTTACAACCTCCTAAAGATGCTTCACCTTGTTCAAAGTCTTTGCACCTCTGCAAAAACCTTGTGTTATTTAAAGAACCCAGAAGCTGCTGGTACTCCAGCGCACCTTTACAGTCCCTGCTTTGGATCTTTAAACTTTCTTAAAGACCCGTAGAACCTCCTGAGACACCCTGGACCTCCTGCTGGATCCAACAGCCTCCAAAAGAAGATGGAACCCAAACACCTGTTCAAAACCTCCTGGAACCACATCTCACCTTCAAAGTCCCGCTCATCGTAGACTCTGTGTTTCTCTGGCGGACTCCGAGCTGCAGGACAAAGGATCTGCTGAAAACACTGGACATCAAACGCTTTGTTCAGGTCCTCCTCTTCTTCATCACCGTGGCAATGTGGGGGAGGAGGAGACAGGGACTGCAGGAGAGGAGGGATGATGTCTCTAAAACCTGTTCACATCACATTAGTCTGTGCCTCTGAGTCGAGTGGAAATGAAGTCCACACTGAAGCTGCAGTTCCTCTAACGACCACTAGAGTCTGGCTCCAACAGTGAGTCAGTCTCCATCGACTCCCATGTTAAAATGTCCAACTTTACAGCAGAAATAAACATGTTTACAGCCTGGTACAAATGACACCTGTTTATATAACTCACCTGTTTATATAACTCACCTGTTTACATTTTATTAAGGACTACAGTTATGGAGAGTTGAGGGCGTCATCTCTTTGACTGACAGGTAGGCATCACTTTCTGCCCTCATCATACTTGGCTTGTTATCTTAGCTCCTTAACTTGCTAATCAGCAAATTAAATATCCTTGGGGTAGCCTTTGACCAAGAGGCCCAGCTGTGCTAATGATGCTAATGGGAGAGTATGCTAATCGCAGACACCACGCCTCTTTGACCATATTTGGACTAGCTAGGAGTTAGGGGGCGGAGTCAGACACTGCCAATTTGGCGGCAGTGTAGCAGCTCACTCAGAAATCTGTGGGTGATGTCACAGGGGCGACGGCCATCTTTGTTTACAGTCAGGGTCACATGAAGTCAAACATCAGCTCTCAGGATTCATGGATGTCAACTTTGATCGAGTATTGATCGGCTCTGATGGGTTTCAGCTGAGGCAGGTCTAAGTTTCTGTCTCATTGAGGTGTTACCATGGTAACAAGATGATCTCACCTGACTGAGAAATGAACCTCAGACTGACACTGATAATGATTATTGATCGATTAGTGTTGAGACTCACTGCAGACAGACCGAGGGCCTCGCTGGGACCCACAGAGTTCGGATGATGGCTCATGGCTCCTTCAGGGGTCAGAGGTCACAGTGTTCAGCAGATGAGTTCAGGCAGCAGAACCTGACAGACAGACAGACAGACGGACAGACAGAGAGAGAGAGACAGAGAGGGTCTGTCTGAGGTTAAAGGTCAGAGGTCAGACTGAGCTTTAATAACCATAGTGTGATCAGACAGGAAGAGAGTGAGTCAGCAGATCAGAGAGACAGAGGACACTGAGAGAGACACAGTCATTTTGATGACTCATCTTGATCTCAGCGGTGTTCACATAAATCTATATCAGACAGGTGTGTGTGTGTGTGTGTGTGTGTGTGTGTGTGTGTGTGTGTGTGTGTGTGAAGTGACAACAGTCTGATGTTGAGTCTGTGGTGATGAAGACTCTCTCATCACTCCTCAGCCTCTCCTCCACACAGACTGAGATCAGCTGGTGAACACAGAGGATCATCCACAAGGAGACCAAACACAGAGAGGGAACATCATGTTGACCTGTAGCTGCTGGACATAAACAGCTGTTTGATCACAACATGTCACCTGTAACAGCTGATGAGTCAGAGTGAAGAAACAGAAACACAGTGAAGGAGCTGCAGCTACAGACACTGATATAAAACACTGTTCACAGCTCAGTGTGGACATGGTACTGCAGGAGCTCTGTGTCACTGTGTGTGTGTGTGTGTGTGTGTGAGTGTGTGTGTGTGAGTGTGAAACAGGAAGAGAGTTGGAGCCTACCTCAGCGTCCTCGCAGCACTGAAAGAGAGAAATTATAATGCAAAGACTGAAACCAACAGAGAGAGAACAGAGAGAGAGAACAGAGGGGAGAGAGAGAGGGAGAAAAGTGGGGAGAAAAGTGGAGAGAGAGGGGGGAGAGAGGGGGGAGAGAGGGGGGAGAGAAGGGGAATTAGAAGAAAGAAGAGATGAAAAGAGGAGAGAGGAGAAAGAGGAAACAGAGAGGACGTAGAGAGAGGCAGACACAGTGGAGAGAAAAGGTCTAACAGAAACCTGATCAGCTGAAGGTCACCATGGCAACCAAACTGTCAGTCAAGGTTAGTTCCGCCCCTTGGCTGTATATATATATATATACACACACACACAGAGAAACACACACACTGATGATGTTACTGACCATCAGCATCATCACATACAGACAGGTAGAACTCACCTGGCCCTGACCAACTACAGCTGAGCTGTGTCTCTGTGTGTGTGTGTGTGTGTGTGTGTGTGTGTGTGTGTGTGTGCGTGTGTGCATGTGTGTGTATATATTATATATATGTATATATATATGATATATATGATGATATATATCATATATATTGTATAAATTATTATAAATATTATATATATTATAAAGCCGTATATTCACATGGTTCCTCTTTATAAATCTCATTGTCATGAACGAGCCTCGTTTCCACTCCCATCAGCCAGTTTGGATAAAGACCAGAAGAAACACACTGAGGTAAAAACACCATCATCACTGTGGTCCATCACTCTGAGGAAGTCCATGAAGAGGCTCACACTCTGAGGTCAGTCAGTGTTCATATGGAACCAGTTTAATGAGTCACTATAAATAATAAGATTAAACCCCAACACTATTTTTTCTCTCTACGGAAATAGAAATATAATGATGCTGTTGATGATGATGATGATGATGATGAAACTCTGTTTTATTTCCTGTTCAATTACGTGTCTCGTCTTATATTGCATTTTCACCGTAGCTTTAGAAACCGTGTGATCACATGATCACAGGAACAAGTGAGGTCACTCTGTGTTTATGAAGACCAATCTATGAGCGGGAAATGGTGTACGCATCATCTATACACCTAGTCCCAGGTGCTGTGATCAGGTCAGTGTTAACAGCTGTGTTAACAGATGTGATATAACAGACACACAGTGAAACATCTGGTTTCACATGAAATCTGTAGAACAGACTGAACATGAACAAAGACTTCATCCAGTATCCTCCTCTCTGATTGGCTGATGGTCACTGTGTTGTTATCAGCTGATTGTACCTGACTACAGGACGTTATTAATGAAGTTAAGAAAAACAATTTCCACAGTCGGCCAATCAGATCAACCAATCAATCACAGTGACAAAGATCTTGAAATGCTCCCGACCAGAGCTCTGACCTCGACCTCTGAGTGTGTGTGTGTGTGTGTGTGTGAGTGTGTGTGTGTGTTCATACCTCCTCAGTGTGTAGAGATGTCGTCCAGCAGAAACAGAAACTCAGTCTGAAGCTACTTTTATATCACCACAGCTCTGTGTGTGTGTGTGTGTGTGTGTGTGTGTGTGTGTGTGTGTGTGTGTGTGTGTGTGTGTGTGAGATTGATTAACCTCCTACCACAACAACAATTATCTACATACCCACAGCACATAACTGAATGTGTGTGTGTTGGTGTGTGTACATGCAATTATCACACGTGTGTGTGTGTGTGTTTGTGTTGTTAATCTGCTGTTTGTGCAGCAACAGGCTGATTTCTGTTTGTGGTGTCTGCTGTGTGTTTACTGTCATCACTCTGCTTTTATTCTGACATGTTCAGTAAACACAACAGGAAGTTCACCTGCGTCACACTCTGTGGGAACCTGTAGATGAGGAGGAAACCTCATATCTCCACACATTCTCACCTGCAGCTGTCCGAAGAAAACATGTAAACTACAAGTTCATCTGAAGACGTCTGTACTGACTGACTGTACCTAACTGTATCTGACTAACTGTATGACTGACTGTATCTGACTAACTGTATGACTGTATCTGACTGTATCTGACTAACTGTATGATTGTATCTGACTGTATCTGACTGACTGTATGACTGTATCTGACTTTATCTGACTGTATCTGACTAACTGTATGACTGACTGTATCTGACTAACTGTATGACTGTATCTGACTGTATCTGACTAACTGTATGACTGTATCTGACTGTATCTGTGACTGTGTATGACTGTATCTGACTTTATCTGACTGTATCTGACTAACTGTATGACTGACTGTATCGGACTGACTGTATGACTGTATCTGACTGTATCTGACTGACTGTATGACTGACTGTATCTGACTAACTGTATGACTGACTGTATCGGACTGACTGTGTGACTGTATCTGACTGTATCTGACTGACTGTATGACTGTATCTGACTGTATCTGACTAACTGTTTGACTGACTGTATCTGACTAACTGTATGACTGTATCTGACTGTATCTGACTGACTGTATGACTGTATCTGACTAACTGTTTGACTGACTGTATCTGACTGACTGTTTTACTGACTGTATCTGACTAACTGTATGACTGACTGTATCTGACTAACTGTATGACTGTATCTGACTGTATCTGACTAACTGTATGACTGTATCTGACTGTATCGGACTAACTGTTTGACTGTATCGGACTGTATCTGACTGACTGTATGACTGACTGTATCTGACTGACTGTTTGACTGACTGTATCTGACTAACTGTATGACTGTTTCTGACTGTATCTAACTGTATCTGACTAACTGTTTGACTGTATCGGACTGTATCTGACTAACTGTATGACTGACTGTATCTGACTGACTGTATGACTGTATCTGACTGTATCGGACTAACTGTTTGACTGACTGTATCGGACTGACTGTTTGACTGACTGTATCTGACTAACTGTATGACTGACTGTATCTGACTGTATCGGACTGACTGTTTGACTGACTGTATCAGACTGACTGTTTGACTGACTGTATCTGACTAACTGTATGACTGACTGTATCTGACTGACTGTATGACTGACTGTATCGGACTGACTGTATGACTGTATCTGACTGTATCTGACTAACTGTATGACTGACTGTATCTGACCGACTGTATGACTGTATCTGACTGTATCGGACTAACTGTTTGACTGACTGTATCGGACTAACTATATGACTGTATCTGACTGTATCTGACTAACTGTTTGACTGACTGTATCTGACTGACTGTTTGACTGACTGTATCTGAATAACTGTATGACTGACTGTATCTGACTAACTGTATGACTGTATCTGACTGTATCTGACTAACTGTATGACTGTATCGGACTGTATCTGACTAACTGTATGACTGTATCTGACTAACTGTATGACTGTATCGGACTGTATCTGACTAACTGTATGACTGACTGTATCTGACTGACTGTTTGACTGTATCTGACTGTATCTAACTGTATCTGACTGTATCTAACTGTATCTGACTAACTGTATGACTGACTGTATCTGACTGACTGTTTGACTGACTGTATCTGACTAACTGTATGACTGTATCTGACTGACTGTATGACTGTATCTGACTGACTGTTTGACTGACTGTATCTGACTAACTGTATGACTGTATCTGACTGACTGTATGACTGTATCTGACTGACTGTATGACTGTATCTGACTGTATCGGACTAACTGTTTGACTGACTGTATCGGACTAACTCAGGGGTGATAGATAGAAGAAATCCTGAGCCTGAACTGTTTTCCCTGGGAGGTAAGCGGCCCTGAAGCTAAGATACACGCTCCGATCAACGCAATTGTGAAGCGGGATCCAGGGGTGTGCTTTCTTCATTTATACAGAAATTACTGTGTATCAAATGACTATAGTATTTCCTGATCAGTGCTTGTTATGTAGTCAAGCAAAATACCACTGCATTAAACAAACAAAAAACTTTTTGATAAATAGTCCATTGAATTAAATATTCTGATGACTTTTGTGGATACAAATGTACATTATTCAGACATGAGATGAACAAAGCCAATACAAGCCCATATTACAGGAGCATCTTTGTGTAGAGCACCAGAGCTCTTGGGACCCTGGGCCTGGTAGGCCTGTTCAGTAATCCCTGCTTTTAACTAGTCACTGACCTGCGTACTTATTGCTTGTATAGCAGACTGAGACTACGATACTACAGCCATACCAAGGAAGGTCAGTGGGTGACAATTATAATACTCAAAAGTAAACTAGGAACTGAATGAATGAATGAATGAATGAAGATTGGATTTATATAGCGCTTTA